AACCTCTGCTAACACAGAACAGTACAATATATATATATATCATACAATAAAATATAACCATATTTTTTCCCCAGTCAAAGTTTATCTTCTATGCGGATCTAAATAGGTATTACTTTTACAAATATGTGTTTTTTTCAAATTGTTTGTGTTTGGAGTTTGAACTGACTATAGCATTTTAAACAACGGACCCGATGGCCTAAGTAGTAAGTCTATAAGATCATAAATCGTACACCGAAGGTATAATTTAAATAGCCCGACATTTTTTAACTTCGGTTCGGAATAATATTTTTTAAAACCAGTCGAGAATTACTTAAAAACCAAAAATATATAACTAGTCCTTTTCCTAAAAGAGATTAAAAAGTTTTTTCTTTCGGTTTTACTTTGTTCGATGCTATTACAAGAAAAATACAAACCACAATTTTTGAAGTACCTAATAAGGAATAACCAAGTAGTCAGTAAAAAGTAGATAGTTTGCATCTAACCTCGTCGCAAAAAAATACATAGCATGTTAATGTCATTTATAAATTGTATAAAAGTAAACAGAAAAACATGTTTTAAAAGTATTGTTCAAGCTTAACAAACTGTTGTATGGCCTGTGGAAAGACGAAAATAAATCTAAGATCACACGAGCAAATCCATCAACTCCGAGAAGTTCAAGGTCATGAATATTATAATAGGAAGAAAATAGAATATATATGAGACCTCGTAAATATCATAGCTGATTATTCTTGGAAACATAATATATTCGTAATATATCCAACGTTTTTTTTTCAAGACATTTTTACACGAGATATAATATTACAATGGTCATATGTTGGTGTGACATTAAAAAAAAAAAACATTTTAAGGAACTCGTATTTTAAAAGCGTTTATAATAATTTTTTTTTATAAAACTATTAAAATAAAAGTACACACAAAACTGTTTTAAATAAAAATTTTAGAAAATAAATTTGTATTACGTAAAATAACTGATAAATGTACAACAGTTACTTTTTTCGAAATCAACGTTGACAATTAAATTTGATTACTGTTTTAAATATAACACAAAAAATTTAATTTTCATTATTTTCCATTATAATTTGTTAAAAAATTTGAATGCTTATATTTTCTCAGCAGAAAAAATGACTACACCTATTCGTGCCACGATCACTCTCCCCGAGAAGTGTATTTTTGTGCTTAATAAATTGATCTTACAACAGGTGGCTCGTGGCATAAAATTTGTACAGAATATTTGGAAAATATCATTTAAGTACAAGCGTCAAACACATAAGCCTAAATAAAATCTCCTTTTTCCTCATAGCTATACTTTTCTCAGCTATTGACATCTGCTATCCTATTTCTGAACCTCGACTCAACACGATTTGTCACATTTTCTACTTGTTTACCCTTATATCATTTTTAGTTACTTCCAACCATGTATTTTGTGGCCTTCCTTTACCTCTCTTTCATCTACCCCTTCCCAACAATACGCCTAATGTTAGGTACTTAAAACTACTACCAAATGTTTTCATTTTCACGGCATACCTTATCATCTGAATTTCTTCTTTCTTTATTATCCAAAGTCATACTCTGTCTTACTTCTACTTATCCTTAGTGCTTTCCTTCATTAAGTCTGTTCAAGCTTTCTCCAGCTAACCCTATAGCAAAATACAACAACATGCACCGCGGTATTAACTTTTACACCGGGGAAAAATAATCTATATAAATTATATTCGATTTGGTATGAACTTACAAGAACAAGTTGTCCATTTGTTATATCGACGAAGCGTTTAGATACAACCCATTCAACGTAAAAACATAAACATCATTATTTTCACCAAACTAGTTATTCATCCTAGTTGTTTACCGACTCGACTGATTTCCGATTGTTCGTTCATCGACCGGGTCGCATATCAAAATACACAGTAAGGCTTCAATCTAATCATTTTGGTTTGTCGTCAACACATTTTAATAGTTGAACGAACTGCGACGTTAAGAAAAATAAAGTTTTTTGTGAGCTACTATAGTAGTATTGTGGCATGATGTGCATTTTATAATTATTTACTTGCGATGGAAAGAAGTTTGTAAGCATTGATTCCCGTTAGCTTGGTTAATCGCTATTTAATGACTACAAAATCCGACTACAGACCGTTTATAATTATTTAATAGGTAAAAATGTACACGGAAACAAATCCATTCTATTCTCATACCCGCAATCAGCGTCATCACTTATGGTGATGTGATACAAGTATGGTAGGGGTAGAGTATGGTGATACAATTAGAGTTTAGACTTACTGGATAATACATTATTTGTTAAGAATCCCAAAAACTAAATAGGCGATAAGATTAGGTAATAGGTGTAAGATTTAAATTAAAAAACAAAGCACAGCAATAAGTTAGTTTTGTCACTTTCAAATCCAAAGACCTGAACCCCCTGACACAATTTTTCAAAATGTCCAAAAGCTTTCACTATAGTGGGTGAATCAAATCACAATAATTTGTTTTTTATTGTCTTGCAAGTATGACGTATCTAATTAATATTTAATAAAATAATTGCAAATTAAACTGACGATCAAAATGTTTACTGTTTTTCTTTATTAAATGGAACTTAACCTTTAAATTACCGGATTTTTTTGAGAACAAATTGTACAAGTGATGGTATACAAACGAATATATTTGTATAGTCTAATTTCAAACCCATCACTATTGATAATACTAATTAAATAATATCTTACATTTTCAAAAACTTTGCTTTCAAAAGAGCAGCACTACAAGCAGCCGTTTCTCCAGCAAAGTCTAAATGTGCAGATACTTCATGAATTATTCTTTCCGGTGTTTTTGTATACTTTGAATAGATAACAAAAAATGAAAATGAAACGTCCGAATTCATTTTTCCGCCGAAGACTCCTTTGAGATTTTGTTACACTATTAAAAGTTTTACAAAAAAAAAATCATTTTGTCGTATAATTTATTCAAATATTTTATGAATAAAAAAATACTTGTAAATGTATTATATTTTTCGTTATTTGCAAAATAAGATATTTACACAGAAGTCAGAACTATATGTTATACTAAAACAAGTTATTCATAAGAACAAATTTTAAAGTATAACATTGATTGACTACAAAACTATGGTATTAATTATATGTAAATAATAAAATATCACGTTTGGTAAAAACAAGTTTACCTGTAACAGTATCACACAGTAATCACACTTAGCAAAATTGTGGTTTTTTGAACATTTAAAAATAAAAACTATTAACGTTTACTTAATAAGTAAACAGGTACGGGGAAAAAACAGTCGCTTTTTAAGAATGACCATTTGTTGTTGTAAAATTCGTTTGGATACTAAACGAATTTGTTACATGAATGAAAACAAAAAATTATCATTAACATTTACTAAAGGTTTTTAAGTATTTTTTTTTTAAACATTTTAAAACATTTTTCTGAAATTAAATAAAAAGTAATTTTGCTGTTTTTTCCTTGTATCGTTCTAATGGAAGGTTATAGTTACAAAATATAGTTATATATATAACTACATACAAAATGCAATAATTTTAATAACATATTTCTCTCATAAAACAATTAGGTCATAAATAAATTAGACTATTTAGGTATAAACAACTCAAAAAACACACATACGTGAATATAATATATTACGTTACTGTTTCCCAAGTCCTATTTTAAACAAAAGTTTTTTGGTTCATATAATATATATGTTTACATATTAAAGTTTCTAAGATTAATATAGTTATAAAACATAAAAATCACCGAGTTATTTAAGTAATATTAGGATTAATTAAGATATATTTTTAATTAATTATGTCAATGAATTAACTTCTTCGTAATTAAATAGTTTACTTCATTCGGAATCGTTTTTTTCCACCGATCAATAATTTATTAATTATATTAATCACTAAATGTTTTTGTTTTTATAAATAGTTAAAAAGTATTTATTTAACAATTAATCGATAACTTATTTAAGTAGAAGTTTAATCGACTAATTCATCCGTCTTTGTTTATTATATTTCCTATATGTTATTTAAATTATTATCTGTTTGATCACAAGTTAATTTTATTATACCTTTTATATGAAATACAGTTAAAACAATAGAATAAATTATTTATTTTTTATTTTAACTCGAGCATATAAATATGCATACAATTACCTTGAAAAATAAACCATTTTAATAATTAATATTACTCTTGAATAATAAATCCATTGTTTTATTTACACATACCTTATTTCTAAGTTATAGAGCTATAGAGTATGGTTAATGACAAATAAGTGAAAATTGTTGTGTTAATTTCATATAAAGCCCTAAAAACTAATTCTATAATTCTCACACAAATATAATATTAAACTAATTCCCTGTAGGCTCGAAATGAAAAAAGGCTATCATCAATTTTTCATCATTTTCGAGGAGAGCATATTTTCCACTTTCTCACACAAAAAATCTCATATTTACTCAATTAACTATCTTTAAAATTGTCATTTTTACACAGTATTTGAAATTAATTTCTATTTAATTGCGTATTTCGGTATTTAAATTTGCAATTATAACAAAAGAAATTTTCAAAATAATATGCAAGTTCTTCGAACAATAGATTATGAACAGAACAAACATACAAATAACACATTTTTATTTTACAAAATAACATAATCCTAGCAAACTATTATTTAGAATTGTTTTATTTGCAAAAAAATACTTTATAATGAGAAGTAATGTTAATGAATTATGGTTGTACAAAATTAGAATAATAATCTAACGTGGAGTAAATGCTACATATTGACATAAAGAAATATTTTATCTTGCATATGTATGCCGCTTTAAGATAGGTTTTCTTTTTTGTAAGCTTAAAAAATGGCCGTTACTAGATACTAGTAGTCTTGTAAAGATTATCGGCTTATTATTTATTTCGAGCTCAAACGCTATGACCTGACGTTAGGTGACTTACAATTAACTCGTTAGGTAGGTTTTGTCGAAACAACTTATTCTACTGGTATTGCGATGACTTACCGAACCAAGTACAGAAGAAGTTCCCTGGGCGGTTCGTAGGGTTGGCCGGGTCTGAGTCCAAGCTCGACGCTCCTGGCTTGTAAACGCCTCTTGGCAGCCGGCGAAGTCATCAGACTGACGCTGGCCAGTGTTTCGGCGAGTTCCAGAGACCTCTTGATCGCCGACAAATCTTTCCGGCAAATTTCGTCCATGTCGACCTGCTCGCAACAAACTGTCTTTGCAAAACGTGCTATTGCAAAACAACCGCGTGATGGTAGTCAATAATCGGATACTCACCGGTAGTACAGCTAGCACAGCGGATGAGCGTGTCACGCGATCGAATGCTGACCGCCGATTAAACTACACAAGACGACGACGGCCAACGACGGTTTTTTTAGACCGCGTAATTTTGTAATAAATTTTTTTTTCTGCAATAAACCAAACAGTAAACCATACAGTATACCGAACAAACAGAGGACAATTATTGTTATTATCGCTGGACTAATAATTACCATTCGACGTGAAGAGAACGTGCGCCGTTTATTATAAAAAAAAAAAAAAAGCGCGTCCCAATGTAGAGGACTACGAGAAAAAACAATGCAATTCGCCGTATAACTGCTGCACGAGCGTATGCGAGACCGGTGGCCAAGCTAGTTTTCCATCGGTCAGGAAGTTGTGCATGCGATTTGAACGGCGGCGTCTCCGGCGAAAAGACTTCAATGCCGAGGTCACCACCTGCGGCCGGCCTTCCTCCTCGACACCACACACTCACATATGTACTATATAGACAAACACACGCCGGCGCTGCAATGGCAATTCAATGGAATAGCAGTGTAATAGTATAGTAATCTATGGTTAACACACACACAATTTGGCTCGTAAAACATTCACACCGGCTTTGAGTGGCATCGTCCGCCGACAGTTTTCACTGGTGCGATTTTCGTTTTCCAGGATCTACCGTGAAAAAATACTATTAATAATCTAGTCAGGACAGTGGTAATATAGCCTAGTAGAGGATGTATAACGGGTCATTACAGCTCATACAGGTCTATTCAACAGAAAGTCAAAAGTGTCAAGTGTGCGCATGTATAATACAAAAATGCAATCCGTTACCTCACGGTTAACGAATATTGTATTTATTGATTATATACATTGATATTACTGATTTTACTCGAAAAGGGTAAAAACGTCACGAATAAAACGTTGTGTTAACAAAATTACGTACTTAAAAATTATTTAATATTAATAGTGTATCTAGTATCGACAAAATATGATTGGTACGTGAAATATAATAGGTATTAATGATCACATATGCTATAAGTGATAAAAATCATAAAAAATAAACTGCTTCCATGCAAATTTGATGTCGATAGAAAGTGGCGAGAATAAATACGTGTGTTGGTAATCGTACCATTAGTTTTTTTTTGTTTTCTTTGATAAAATTAAGTTTGACTATACACTAGATACATACCATCAATCCGATTTTCAGATGTCCAACAAAAGTTTTATACTCCCGACATAATCTAATAACCTTCTTTAAACACATAATACTAAATAATAAGCATTCTGAGTAAAGAATGAAGAACATGACTAACATTCGCTTAGTTATGTATATACTAAAAATAAAAATGGTTTCTCTTCGTATTATTGTACTTATTAAGTTTAACCAATATGGATTGTTTAATATTTTTTTAATATAAAAATTAGAAATTTCGCGCCAACGCTATTATACATATGTGAATAATAAGCAGAAGTAATGTGGAATAGCTTATTAATAATTGTGTTTTTTTTGTAAAAGTATAGTTGACAGTTGACGTGGGTGTTGAAACTAAGAATGCAAATTCTATAAGCAATTTGACAACAGAGATTCCTAAATAGTAGTTTTGTTGATTGTTAAAAGCAAATTATAATTATTCACGATACAAACGCGAATGGTCAATTAAATTACACAAAATCGTAACTCAATCAAATGATAAATTATTGGTTTTATGCGTTGGATTTCTGTGTCCAATTCTGATGTTTAGCCGATAAAAATTATATTTGCATTAATTCTGACGGACAATAAAACCAATATGATTTATAACAATATTGTAATTACGTTAAATGCGTTAATTATAATGACAAATTGTACGAAGTACGAGTTTGTAATAAGATGATATTGCCATAAATAATAGTAATTGTAAAAGCAATTTTTCCGCCGAAGGCAAGTGGGTGGTTCTGTATTCGGAGATATTATAAGTGACCTAGTGTAAAACTGTATTAACATAAGCAAGTCAAAAACACCGCGTCACCGCGGCAAAAATCATTAATTGACGTTAACGGTGAGTTTACAAGTTCGGTTAAACTGTGCTAATTAATTAACCGTATGTATCGCGCAAACGAATTGATTAAAATATTTAGCATTTACACGTTCAGTTTTTTACTTTATTTAGTTCTGTTTTAATTCTAATTTTTAAACCGATGTTATTCGTTTACACACGATCGACGATTGCACAGATTTTTTCATGCAGCGCTTGAACTTATGCAGTTCAAATTTCTTAATAATTAATGAACGGTTCAATAATACAATTTTTAATACAGTTTGTTTGCCCAGTTTAACCAAACGGGTACACGGACCTCGACGTTAAGTTAGTTAAGGGGCAGAGGCACTAGCATTTATCAGAGCGCGTTGTATGCAATTTTGCAATAAAACTTAACATTAAGTTAAGATTTGTAAACTGATTTATTACCATAGCAGTATTTGCTTAGTATTTAATTTTTTTTCGAACTTTTATAACGCGTACAAAATTCGAACCTATTTTGGTATAAAAATAAAGCATTATTTAAATTTATTATTTCTATTTGAAATTTTGCACATTCTAAACATTTTTAATCGTTTTCACAATGATATTAATAACGAAAAATAAAAATTTACTTTGGTCGAACCATCAGGCAAGTATTGAAAAATCTATATCCGTTTTCAGAACTATAAACTAATGTCGGATTACGCGTGTAACGTAGTGGCTTCTTAAGAAATAAATTATAAGCTAAGCCGTTCGATTGTATTACCGTTTAGTGAAAATGATTAAGTATCAGACTTAATAGTACAAGTTCACAAAGTCACAACGTCGCTAAAGTTTTTACGCACAGTATTTAGTGATAATCCACCAACACGAACTACACTACTGACTACACTTAAACACAAAATAAATATGATAGCTTCTCAAAACGGAGACACGAACAACAGAATATTATATGAAAGAATGTGTCATAACTTTAACTAGTGATAATAATAGTGTCACTACCCGACGCCGGCGACGGAGTTACTATTTTTAATAAATATTTCAAATACAATTTTTGATTTTTAACGACAAAACTGAAAACGTTGAGATTTTGCACGTTCCGTTCAGTTTAACGATAGGACACTTCAAGTGCGACGCTATTGCACCGGAAAAACAAGTTTTGCTTAGGTACCACCACCGTCGTCGCACGCTGATAGCACTCGGCACTTGAGAATGAACGGTCCGATTTGATGTTATATTATGCACTTATTAAAAGTAATAAAAAAAAAAATACACAGTATCTAATAATAAAACAAAATGGCCCGTGCGAAACGATGTGACAGGTTCAGACCGAGAGGCGTCCGTGTTTACATCCGTGTAGCTGTTATTAAATTATACTAAATATTTTTTTAGTTTCAACAGAGTATAGAATTTTTGAAAACCAGCCAAACGCCGGTTTGGCCAAAATAACCTAGTGATAAACAGCATAGTGATAAATCCTAAAGGTTTTTGTTTGTTTACATCAAAACAGTGGTTTTTTTTGTTAAATACTGTTAATGTTATTAGATCGAGTCGAACAAAGAAATTCACGGATTAGCGACTGCACTGAAGTAGAGAAATCATCATTAAAAAAAAACACCTTACACTTATTAATAGATTCGTTGTCTTAAAATGATTTTCTATTTAAAATTATTTCGACAAGGCTGGACACAGCGCGTTGATAAGTTTAGGTCAAGCTAAAAGTTAAGACGTTACACTCCATCAAGGGTTTTGCCGAACTGGACGTACTTTGGTTTGCTCAAACTGTATGCGAGTGTAAATAAAAATCGTATGCTCGTATAATGTATTGGTCCAGATTTACACAGATATCATGCATATCATGATGGATCAAAACAAACCGGAATTTCGTACGCCAGGTGGTAAGCCGACATAGTCTATGTTAATATACAAGTGTACTGATTTTAGCTTAATGTCATTATCGACAAATCGCCCATATTTTACTCCTTAATAAATAAGTGGCGTACGCCACACCAGTCCTCTTGAAAAATGTCCGCATTATGTACCATTTATTTTTTAGCTGCAATATAATGTTGTAACGAAGGAGTCCTTGTCTGGACATTTTATTGGCCGTACCATTAATTATTCCTCACTAATATGAACCGATTCTATCGCAATTATTATTCTGTAGTGCACTAAGGCCGGCGCGGCGGTTATAATATAATGATTTGATCACAGCGACCGGTAGTATAACGTTATGTTATACTTACAGTGATATTGTTCGGAATTGAAAACCAGATGGGTAAGTGTAGACCGCACAACCCTGATGTCTAGGCCGTCGAATTATAAGTTGAACGATTAAAATTTATGAATCTCAACGCGCATTTGTCGGCGGCAATTAACCGAATTTCCACTATACGATCTCGCGAACAAATAGTTATTCAAATTATTTAGCCAACACAAATTAAAATACGATATCTATTAAAGTAATTTTAAAAAAAAATCTGCGAAGAACGTATAACAACAAAAAGAAAATTACTCTCTAACACACACTAACAGCAAAACTGTAACGACAATAGTGTTTACATCAGCTTAATTTATCTGCTATTTATATGATCACGATTCTTTATAGATTATGGCAAAAAAAAACACGCAAAACTAGTTATCAATTTGCGTCATTTGGATTAAACTGGCTTATTTTTCTTGCTTTTTTTTATGAACAACTGTCAACTTGACTTTAAAAGTATAAAAGAATACCCTTTTTCTTTAAAAATTTAAAATAAAATCACCATAACATTTTTTAACTTTGAATATGTCACTTTATAGTTTTCAAACATTTCTCGGAATCAATTATTTATAATCAAACAATTTCCAAAATTAAATTTTATTTTAGTTTAAAAATCGTTTGGGTTTTTAACAAATATGGCGTTGGGTTAAGTGGTGGTCAAATATTATGTTAAACGTGATCTAGTTGGTTTTTATTTATACCCCAAGCAATCAACGGCACACGAATACCAGAATATTTAATTAGAAACTTAAAAAAAACAAACCTTTTTAAACACTAACCATTGTATGTTTTGATAACGAATATCAAATAAAAGTAACAATAAATACAACATGGTATATAATGGATTGTGTTCTCGGCTTAATTGTTTTCTCTTGATTGTTTTGTTCAATTGTAATTAAATATTTACAGAAGTATTGACAAAAAAGTGCAACATACATAATAGTATGATGTTTTGTATTAGATTCAATCAATTATTTTATGCAACCTCTCAACAATTACTGTGGATGTCAAATCAGTGAACACTGCTAACCGATGCCTGAATAAGACGGTACCTATATTTTATAACGACTGATAAATGTGTACAAATTCAAGTTAATACTTTCTTAATTGATCTTCCATGGCAGTTTAAATCATCTACCACGTGTCAATAGCCATCTACTTAAGTCGCAATGCAATACATTTTTTTGTAAATTTGGTAAATTTGAAAATTGTATAAAAAAAAAATTGTCATTTTTAAAAAGTCACTTGCCTGTTCTTTTCCCTGTACCCTTCGTATCAACTTTTATTCTAGTTATGATGAAATCAAACAACAACAACTACAGAAGTTGATAATGCCATTTAAATATTATACTACGACTACTACAATTATATTAAGCTACTATATGTGCGTCATTTTAATAATATGTTTTTATGAATTTTAATAGTATGTGTTTATAAAGAATCATGTCATTGTAAGACGGAAGTCACCGACTTTTATTAAAACAACGAAAAAATTCAATCATCTTAATTAGACGTTTACTTTGTACACTAGTTACACACTCTATTTACAATTTATCAAATATATTATTATGCATTAAATTAATGCCATTAAGATTGTCGGTATACATTGTTTAATTAGATACAAGATAATTATGTTTTTGTGTACTACCAACTTCGAAGGTCGTACAAGAGTTAAGAACGAGTGTTAATAATAATAACAATCGTGTGTTTTTATGTTTACTTAAGTATACATACATTTGATAAATTTAATAATATAATACACTGCACTAATAGATTTTGTACTTTCGTAGAGTTTTGATATAGTTTCCCCTCCTTGGTCTTCCCGACATTAAAACGCACTATTATAATATGTGTTAATATTTTTTTTGCAATACTTAATGGCTTTTCGTGTTTTCCACTGCTAGTATATTATATTGTATTTGGTCTGTTAAAGAGTTGAAAAGATAATAATAATAATATATTACATTATGCCGGACGTGATCGATGAATGGTCATTGTGGTATCTCATTTACCGCATTCGCCATGTTCCGGCAATACATGGCCGTGCACAAAGCTCAATGCAACTTCACAATTATTTTCTTCATGTGTTGGGCCAAAAATAATAGACCCTAAGTATATATATATATATATCGGTCTGACCGCGCTTTATACATTCGTCGCAACAATAATAATAATTATTATCCTTGGAAGCAAGTAGCAACAGTGGGATTTGTAGTGTGAAGGTAAACCGAAAATTAATCGTTACATTAACGGATAATTACTGCTGACAACATTTGAATGGGCATTATTCAAATACAATACGGTGAAAATTGCGTTAAAAAAAAAGTCAACTATTTTACGCTAACAATTTCAAGGAAACCTACACTATGTTATGCGAAAACTTGTTTGGTTCTACACGGACAACAAGGGACAAGGCTAGAGGAATAATATTATTAAAAAAAAAAACACCTTAGTATTTGACAGAAAACAATTTCGGAAAAGTTTCAACCCTCAATTCAACCTTGAAAGTGGTAAAAACACCGTTTTTTTATTATGTTATTAAATGTTTATCAGTTATCACAATTACCAAATGAAAAGTATAACAACACTGACCTCGGAACCATGCGATAATTAGTATATTATGAATTCGTGAGCTTTGAAGTTTATCCAAGGTTACTATTGTCAACGTCATTCAAAAAATATCATCTATAGTAAGTGCATTTTCTTTCTACAATAATTTTAATAGAACGTCTAATACGCGACGTGTAGTGTGAAGTGAGGCAAGAGTTAACATAAAGAGCAAAAGTAAATGTGATTTTGAAAATCATATAATTGACAGTTTATAGTAAAACTTTTGATGATTAAATTTATTAGTAACTTTTAATACATTTACTTTAGTTATAAGATGTTAATGTACTTATTGGTTATCACACAATTTTTAACTGCAGGTCGGTAGAGTAAATACTTAAAAAAAATACCCCAAACAAATTTTGAACTAATTCCATAATTTTTCTGAAAGTTATAGTGTGGTATATTTTAAGATTAACCTCTTTTTTTTTTTTTTTTAGGTTGTTTTACTCGGTTCTGGTACTAGATACATGAAATGGTACTAGAAGGAAGGCTAGAGGAAAATATTTTGAAAGTCAGTACCCCTAAAGAAGAGGGGGAAAAAATACCAATATTATTTATTTTATTCGTCATATTTTGGTGCAGTAAAGTTTATTTTTATAATTTGATGTCTGATTTAGTTCAGACTCTGGTGTAACCAACCCCTGAATAAATAAATAAAAAAAGATAAAACCAATTGATAAAAAAAGACACAACAAATTCACATTTAATACACACTTATTTATTCCTTTCTGGTAATGGGGATTTTTTTTTCCACCTAAAACCTTCGCCTTGTTGCTGCAACTGTTGATTTACAAGAGTTGCATCCTGGGGAGAGTGGATACGGTGCTGTGGTTTCCCGTGGCGTTCCGCACCAGGCGCGTGGCCATTTCTCTCTCCAGCCGGTAGCTCGCCCCAGCTAGAGAAACGGCCAGCGACCGAGATATGAACCACGGCTAGTGCGTAAAAGCATTGCCGCGGTAACCCTCTCGGTTACGACGCCACGACGATAATGTCCCCAAATAATATACCATATTGAAAATCTTATAGTTAATAATATTTGATATATCCAATTTATTGGATAAAATTTGAGATTCGAACAATATAATTAATATACAATCGTTTCCCTCTGAGAAAAATATCAAAGTATCATAATGTTCTTAGCTTTTAAATAAATTAATTCGCGCTCATGATCTATATGTCGCTTCATATTAGCAATGTGACATAAATCCGGACTTTGAAATCAGAAAATCTGAATTTTGCGTTTTAAAATAGAAAATGTTTGATATTTAAATTTAAATCATATAAAAAAATATGTGTTTATGTCATAGTTATTTGAAAACCAAAGATATTTTATCGTTAGCTGAAGAGGTTTCAATATACAAAATTAATTTAAAAATCCTAAATGAAGATTTGAAAATACGTATTCTTGATCTCCGTGAACATTCGATATTTTAAAAATGGCCTTAATTTAAAAAATCTTTAAACTTATCAGTTTTATTTGTTTTAGCATTATTTTCGACTAATGTTTGCCTCTGAATCGCACCACCATGGACCATCTTAGCGCGTAACGTTCAACGGATGGCTGACTAACCGGTTTATTTGAATTTGTCCTATGATTAAAGAGCTCAATCCTTTTAGGCAATTGATCATCTTATAAAATGTTGGCGAGTGTGTATAAGGGAATAGGTAAATATCACAATATTCTTCAAGGGTAAGTGGGATCGAAGGAGGAAAGTAAAACGCATTAAAAAAATAATGACAACAGACAAATGTGACTTTCAAAAGTAACTATTAACAATTATGTAGTATTGACATTATTGTTATGACGACGGATGCCGTGAGCAAGCGGTGCACCATCACAAGGGCACTCGAGTCATCGTCGTCGGCTCTCTGTTGACGGGGAAAACAATATTGTCTATTGTTATAGTATTATGGTCTTATTCGCCAAATGCTACTTTGAGGTGATATGATACGAGTGCGGAAACCGAAGGCGCAGACTAAGGCGGGACATAATAGTATGCTTGTATAAAATATAATAATAGTGTTTCCCATATATGGTCCGAGTTACGTGAACGTGTAGAATTTTAAATCAATGTTGATTTTTTTTTTTAACAAATATTTTAAGAAAAAAGTTCTCCTTATTAATCAGTTTATACTGCTGAACGACCTTAGGTCACCGACCAGCTATCGACTAGTACGGTTCCTGCACACGCTACAAGTACGAGAGGGTATTTAAATTGGTCCGCATATTATACGAATTACGAGTATACCATCTCACACTTAGTCGAGAATTCCCGTGTCGTACCAAGGACGGGAGTTATAAACGTGTATCCGTACAACTGAACAAATTACTACGGATGTGCAGGCTGTATACTGTAGTAGAGAATTGGAAAATTTGAAATTTATTTAAATAGAAAAAAGAGAAGTCTATTACTTTTTCGCTCAAAAAAATATCCAAATGGAAGTGGCTCAATAAAGTGGCTGGGGAAACTACACACTAGACCCCACTTAGTAATCTAATCGAGAATTTAAAAATAAACCATAAAAAAAATGCTCATCATACTCTGCGAACAGATAGTTGAGCAAAATATATGACGTGTAAAAAATTGTATTTGAAAAAAATAGCGAACTGCCCTTACAACGGGCTGCCATTCAACACAGCATAAAAATTAAAAATTGGATAATTTGACGAATAAAAGATAATTTTGTAATCGCAAATAACACTATTTTTAACTCAATAAATAAAAAAACATGCCTGACTGAGTCTGACGTTAGCGCTGAAGATTGTTGTTGAAGTACGTATACGCATAGAGTGTATTATTTTTTTATGGTTTAAGGGTTTAAGTATTCATTTCTTTACTATGAATAATATATAACCATAAGTTGCTTAAAGTTGTTTCTGTATAACTTTTTACTTGTATGTACAGAAGTCATTCTAAATCTTCCTTTACCTGAGCTAATTTAACTTCCTTGAACCGGATCGGGTGATAGTAATCTATCCCCGACGGAGGCTAGAACGGAATAAAACCCTTTATTCTGGCCAATATATTTCAATTTTTTTAAGTTTAAGCCTAAATTAAAAACTTCAAGAAAATTAGTACGAATTTAATAACTCTCTGAGATGCACAACTCTTAAAATGTACGATGCAGTAACATCGGACGAGTGTAGAGAATGGTAAGATGGCGGGGACGAGAAGAATGGCTTGGAAATGAGCAGGGCTAAAATAGAATAGACTCAGAGATGAGTATAAAAGTTGAGAGTTTTCAACCGAATAAGAAAGATAAAACGACAAAAATTATTGAAATGAGATTGTATGTACGATGGACGTAAATCAGAATTGAGTACTTACAAAGTAGTTTCGGGAACAGAATAATAATTAAAATAGATAATATGTATTGAAATATTTTAATTGGAAAAAGGGAAGGCAATTAGGAAAGTAAAACGCTTAAAGAAGTAATAAAATAATACGATTTCTATATTAAAATAATATATGTTAAAAAATAATGAAAATATTTACAATGGAATATTTTTAAATGAACAAAATTACTTGTCAACATCAGTAATTCGTTTGGACACGCGACAATAATAATTATTTTCCTAAAATAATTACCGAATACAGGGCCCAAACCAATAATTAACAGTCAACTGTACAATTTTAGGCAAAAACGATGACTATAAAATACATGTACTACAAAATAATACATTTTATACAAACAAACAAAAATTATAACTACCTACAACAATAAACAGTCTAATAATAGCTGTGCTAATCGACTTCTAGTTTTCGAAAACTACCGTTAAGTTGGTTGATGCCGGCGGCTAATCCTTTGATCTGTTCTGCTCTCGTTTTCCTAGTAACGATGCTTTTATCGCTCAACAGCTTCATGTTGTCCAAGTTCAACAACGATTCTCTGTTGGACAACAGTTCCTTCTTCCAAAGATCTACGAGGAATCAATAAACAACAAATGAAATGCAAACTGTTGTTCAAGGCAACAGTACATAAGTAATGACTAATGTCTCACCAATCATTTCGGCCATTGGCATTGTACCGCCGTATTCTTTGGGTAACACTCTTTTGTCAAGTTTCTTGTGTAATTCTTCTTTTGAGTTGTACATCTACACACAGTCAAAATTTGATAAATATAGAACTCAGATATGATCAACATTAATGTGGCAAAACATTAAACAATAGACAGTTTGACGAATAATAGATAATTTTTTATTGGCAAATAACACCATTAAATGTGACTTTATAAATAAAAGATAATTATTAAAAATATTATCTCAGGTATTTTCAAATTTATTTTAAATTACTTTCGTTTTATCATAAATAATTAAACAATAAAGAGAATATTTAAGCATGTTATGTATTATTATTACTACTATTTAGTCATTTCAACAAAAAATAAATAATTTTTGAAAATTTCACGAATAACAAATAGTTTTGTCATAAACAATGGAATAATAAATGTTTAAATAAAAAAAGTTTAAATTACCGTTTTTTGGTTGCGAATGAAATATAAACGAAACCGTTTTAATAGGTTTTTATAATATGAATTAAAAATAAAAAATATTATTATATTATAAAAATATATAATTTTTAATGCTAAACATTTTTTTTAACAATTTCTTTGCTATTATTGGGATATTGTTTAATATTGTGCCTTTGTTGTTAATTTAGTAATATTTTAAAATTACCTTCATACGCTGATTTATCTTGTCGCTAACTCTCGTTTTAAAGAAATCATAAGCAAACTTCACTGGAGCTGGAACGTTGAGCAAGTGTATTGCTTTGTGCCTCATGGGTATGGATTGCTAAAACAACAGTGTAAAAGGGTTATTTTTTAGGGGAATAATAAATTAATTTTTAGCTTCGATGCGATAGCAAGAAGCTATTTTAACAATAGTAACAAAAAAAGAAATGTGTTTTAGTTAGTTGCTTGTAAATTGTTATTTTACTTATTCAATTGTTCAGATTTTACCGTTGGTATGTATTTTTTGAGTGACGACCAAAAAAACTACTTAATGCGTCGTCAAAATGTGCAATCAAATCCAAAAACAATAACGATTAACAAAGGGTAAAAATCATAACATTAGTAACAAAATGTTTATTTCAAGGCTGGGTCTATGCGTAAAGATATTATAAGTATGTGTAATTTACTAATAAATGATGTTTGGTCACGGATATTAAAAGAAAATTAACATTACTTATACCAATAAAAGTGGTATTCTAACAGCTGTTGACCGTATCTAATTATTTTTAGCCAACCAAAGGTTTTTTGCCAATACATGCCATGAAATTACGCCTATACATACGGATATATATATTTAGAGAGAGATAGAAAAACATAATTGGTAGTTACAGATTAGACAAAAAGTAGTTTTACAAACAAAATTCACTCAAGCACACAATAGAATTACGGTAGAATTTCATTAGCTATTATTATCATATCATTAAGAGATATTTACCTCTCCCCATTTAATGAGAGTGGCGAATTCAGTTGGAGTGTACAACGTCAGGTACGCAGGACTTATACTGGCCAAGTCACCGAAATGGGTGAATCCCATTACCTGGTTCACTTCATCGTTCATTAACGTCTCGTATGTAATTAAATGAATGTAAGACATATCTTTATTGGTATATTTGCGGAGATCAAAATTTTCTGAAATGGAAAATTTAAGCTTAAACAATAATATACTATTTTTGCAAATAACAATTTTAATTGGTTCTTATTAAAACTAAAATGGAAATTGTATTATGGCGGGAAAATATAAAATTGGTAGTTAAAAAATATCCTTCAAATGTTTTTTAAAATATTTGTTTACCTTTTTACTATTTTTATAATTACCTACTATTTTAAATAATGATCTATGTACAAAATGATATCAAAAAGATAACCGTGTGTCTGTCTTACCATTCATGTAATGAGTAGTCAATATATATTTTTGTTAATAAAGTTGCTTATATATTTTTTTCTCGTGCCTTATGGATGAACGTATAGGCAACTTATTAGACAATAAAGCGTAGCACTCTTGAAATTTGTTAAATGTAAACGGGCAATGTCATGAGAACGACAAACAGAACAGTATAGTTACATTTTAATAAATATATTAAGATCTCTATAAATATTAATATTTTTAAACGTTTTATCTTTACAAAAAAAAGGATTAATAATGAATAATAAAGCCAGCATAGTGGTGTCTTCAGGAATTATTTTATCTGAAACCCATTTAATGCCGAAACTGTATGTAGTAAACATTATTAAATATAATTAAAGTCAATAATTTTATAGACCTAAAGATTTTATGTGTTGGCAACAGTGTTATTTCATTTCATGGCTTTTTCCCGATAAACATTTTAATACAACTTTTTGGTTTGTTTTATATTTAAAAAGAAAATGCTACTATCAGTCCCCATCAGAAGAATCCTAAAATCAGAAGTCCTAAAATCGCTCCTAAAAGAGCGAAATAAAAGAAAGTTCAATTCATTCAATCCATCTAAGAAACTGAAAAATACGTAGGGTCACATAAGATCTTCCTTCAGTCTAATTTTCATATTTCAAGTTCAAAAACTACGCCAAATAAAGTAAAATTGTCCATTCCTACGAAGAGGAGTTTGTATGTAAAATAATTTACTTCTAAAAAAAGTGCTATTTGTGACGATTTTTCTACACAGAGATGTACTTTATGGTGGAAACAATACAGAGAGAAAAGATAAACTTTCTCGGAGAGTAAATCTGTAAATGTAGGGTGTTTGTAGTTTGCAGGGAAAAAATAATCAAAAACATATGATTTTAATCATACGAACCTAGAATATAAGGCCATTAATATGATTGATTGAGTTCTGACTTTTTAATTATGACACAATAACTTACTCGCAATTCCGATGATTACTCGCCTTCCGTCGTTGTCTCTAAACGGCGACGCAAACAAATAACCGGAGCTGATGAGAGCGTTGACTGATGGGATTAAAAAGTCTAAGTTCAAAAAATACATTGGGAATTTTTGTCGCAGGTTCAGATACTTGAGCAACATTTGTTGAGCCATCGGTAAGCTGAATTTCTTTGTACGCAAAAATCTCAAGAGAAACCTACCTTCTGTTGTTTTAAAATTTGTTATACATTCGATTTTTTAAAATTTATAGTACATCTTTATTAGATGCCTTACCCGTATTGATGTTTTGAATGTCTTTGTTCTGTGCCACCCATCGTCGGAAAGCTAAAAGTGAATGATTCCTCGCATGTTCGTCTTCTCTTAGCTCATTAAAAGCTACGATTTCCACAGATTTGGGCAGTCGGCACGAATCCACAGAAGGCCACAAATCTGCAGTGGAAGATTTTTCCCAGCATCCTCCTACCATGATCTCAGCCACGTCAGTAGATGGCATTCCTGAAAAACGATATGGTTTTTATACTTCAGAAGTAACCTTACTCTATTTAGCAGCAACCTACTAAAAGCAGTACACTTAAAACTGCAAAATTGCAAATACTATTTCACTACAATCGCCAATATTATAAAATAGGCGTTTCATAATTTAATAGTATTATCTGTTAAAAAATTGACATATTTGTTAAACTAATTATCACATTGGCCGCTCTAATTAAAAAACAAACCAAAACTGTTTCTCACACCGAAACTCTAAAAATGTACATGCATTTTACATACTATCGGTAATATGTATATTAACTAATAATACAAAAATAAAAATGTCTATTTAAAAACTGTTTACAAAATTAGAGTTATAGTAATAATAGTATGAATTATACATTAATGATCCAGTGGAAATTCAATTAAAGTCCAAGCATGCGAAGAACTATTAAAAATGTTAATACTCTTCAACCGAAAATGATATTCCCAAAAAAAAAAAGGCGATTGACTAATGAGACATAAATACCTATTTAGTGCAATTTTACTATGGTAGTTATAGTACTATAGTAGTTATAAAAGAAATTCAGGTCAAGTCACAATGTATTATAACGAGTATAAATTCCTGGTTAAAAATCAGGTAATTTGAGACCCTTGAACCTGTATTCAAAACAAAAATTTGTCCATCCCGAACCCGAATTATTCGTTTCCAATTTGACAATTATTTTAAGTCTAATTAAATATTTAAACACATGTCTAAAAATTATTATTTTACGAGAAAGAAATTGTTTAAAAACAATACCGAAAGAAATATCTTTTAATGATTCTATAGATTTTCTTGTTTAATTTTAGATTTTTAAACTGTAGTCGTAAAAATAAGGTGTAAATAAGAATACACTTTTTAAATTAAATAGCTGTTATTACTTTTCAATTTTAATGTTATGTTAAAAATGTTTTTTTTATTATCATTATTTATTTGAAATTAAAACAATATATTGCTCAGAAACAAAACTATAATATGTCAATGAATTACGCAGTATTGTTGATTTTATCTTTAAACGATTTACATTTACATTTGCTTTTCCTACTTGACCCTACTTATATTCCAAACTGATGTAGAAAATACATACTATTTTAAATAGCGTTTAAGCATACATACCGATAGTTATATCAATATTATAAGAAACTAGAAAACGTTTTGGACTCGGCGAGACCTGCAGAAGAACAGCTATGCGTTAAAACACTTCCATCGTCGATGTGCCAACAATCGATACTAAAAGACAGTCATAGTGATGACAGGCGTGTATAATATCATTAATTTTGTACTCGAAATGTTTGATACTCTTTTGATGAGCCCCACCTTCGACACGGTGGTACGCTCTTCGGACGGGTATCCAAAAAATTGACATGTCCTCTTTTTGTGGTGAACTCATCACTCGACGACATGAAATCACACGTAACAAACACTCCACGACGTTGTCGTGTCTCTTTGTTTATGATTCAGAGGAATCATATAGGACCACCTATCCGAACTTATGGCTGTCGCTGTTTCATTCTTTCTCGTTTCTAACACACACACTGATGCACTTACCTAATCGCTAAATTCCCAGACATCCAATAACAATAATCTAATTGCATAACCCGGATTTCTACCGCCATAGACCATAGTATTAATGATTGAAAGCACAAAACTTGTGTGTAAATCGTTTTGTCGCTTTTGCACATTAGCTGTGGTCTAAAAAAGTAACTACACAGTATTTCCATTCAAAGAGTACAGGCAAGTTGTAATTGGTAAAAATATCCGTAGACATAGACAACCATTATTATAAAAGAATTATACAAATATATCTCTAAAAAAATATCCCATACGCGATTCATATAAAACAATACCTATTAAAAACCTAGTGTGTGAGACCGCTTTTAATAAATTTTCTATGTTCCTCTTCCTTGAAATAGTGACTCAGTTCCGCCTATGGTAAGTATACTTCATAATTTTATAGTTGTCGCCTGCGTAATGTCCACTATTAGATGATTGCTAATCGATAATGCTGTGCCAATAAAACTTGCCGTTTTTGAGAGTCCAAAATTCAACAAAAACCCAACAACACAATTACTGCACAGCATATTGAAAAAAAAACGATCAATGTAATAATTAACAACATGTTTTATGTTACAAATCAAACCTAGCATTTTAAATAATTTGGTATGATCTACTCAAGTCATCACGCAACAATAGAAGTCTATCACAACATCAATCTTAAATGCAATTGATTTAGCAATTTCCCCTTATCTAAAATAATATCATTCTCATTTCTTAGATATTGAGTTACTGCACAGCTTTCCTTCTTCTCCACATGCATTACTCAATGTTTTCTATAATATTTGTTATTAATTGTTTGTTTTAAAATGCTTTGTCATAAAAAATATATGTTTTATAAATATTTTAATGATCCTTTATTAAAATTTTTATATTATATTCATTGTGATTTGTGTAAATAGAAGAATAATAAACTTTTTTTAAACAATTTTATATGATATGCACTAATGTGAAAGGTTATATTATTTTCGTGTATCAAAATAGTTTGTTGCTCCTAAAAGTATTTACTGCACATTATTTTCAGTCAACATTTCATCAAATAATATAGTTAAAAAATAATTGAAAAATTTTCTTCAATTAATAGTTATGTATGTACAACTCAGCAAGTACTATAGAAATGCTAAATTTAATTAAAAAATTAAGTACAAACTAGTATCTTGTAAATGATTACCGTCCAATATCCCGACATACCATTATCTCGACAAACCAATTAAAAGAGCTGTCGGGTAATTAGTTTATCGGGATTTTGGATATAGGGAAATGAGCAGGAATCCTAGTAAATTATGAAATGCAAGATCCGAGAGGTATTTATCATGTACTTAACAATTTATTATTATTTTTGTATAGCACTGTGTAAAAGACGATAAACGATAAGTATAAGATAATATTATATGAAGTAGTTGAGCAAGTATTTTATAGTTTGAAATTTAACGCGGTTAGTACTCAGTATATCAAAATAAACAAACAACTTTTTTTAATATGACATATATCAATATAAACCGGTAATAAATTATAACCGTTTAAAAACTAACTATAAAATGTGTCTATGCATTCAATTATATTAGTATACTTAAGTTGTTTGTCCACTATTGTTAGGTACAATTAAAATAATACATGATATTGCATGATACATGTTTAAATATTTATTTTAGATTCGAGATGGTTTGTAAAAAAGGATAATTACTTTAGTCCAGTCCGTAATTAATTTAAACATGTTATTAATCCAGTTTAAAAACTGACAAGTTCAATAAACCGCCTGAGCTGAATTCTATATGAAGAAGGCAATTTGTATAAAAACACAATCTATTACTTCCTCTACTTTAAAATTAAAAAAAAGTACAAAGCTAAACATTCACAATCAATATTTCTATAGCTGATAAAATATTTATTTAACAATAAATAAATATATTTTTTTTCTAATTTAAAAATAAAACTAAAATCACATGAAGTTATACTGACCAGTTTGGCTTAACATTCAAGAGTAGTTTAGCCAATTATTTTTAATATTGTGAGACTAATTAAGTCCAAATTAAATTAAGTATAATAGGCTAGCCATGTAAAATTGATTGGCACAAATACAATTTTTTTATTAACGCCACAATTAGTTTTTAAGAAATCAACAAAATTCAACCTCTAGATAAAACTGTTTTTGAAAAAGTACGATGGGCACGTTTTTAAACCAAACTATACATTTTTTTTGTTAACTTTTTAATACATATTATAAAATCATTATTTACCCTACTATTTACCATTCATTCATCACTTACAACTAAATCAGACCTTGAAGTAACCAATAATAATTATTTGTTTTTCAAAATTCTACTTTATTTTAGTTTGTTTATGGTATAATAAAATATCGTAATAATAAATACTAATTGATATTCCTCGTAAATACCAATTGTTTTTTTTTTTTATAAAAAATAATTTTATAATTTATTATACCATAATGTACCTAAGTTATAATAAAATATATTTAAAACATTTTTTGTTTTATTTTAATACATACTCGGTAAAAAATTCATGTTGTTTTTTCGACTACTGTGTTACGATTAAAGAGCTATTGACACTTCTTGGTGTTCAGACGGTAGATGACTGGTTAGATTAGTTGTGGTTTTCTCTATACTAATCTAGGATTTTTCGTTTATCAGTTATCAACAACTTCACTTAGTTATGGCAGAATCCAATTCTAGAACAGAAATATAATTTCTAGTTGTTATACAAAATTATAAGTCATATAATAGCTAATTGTTAGTTTTTATTATAAAAAAATTACAATTACATTTTTTCCACTTGTTTACAGTAACCGAGGATGACCCTACTCTATTTTCTATTAATTTTAACCAGCGATCTAATTCAAATATTAGAATGTAATTAACCTAATTTTTCTTTCAAAAAAGATATACAGTAATTGATACTGTATTTTATTTTACACAATCACAATGACATTTTTTTTATTAATAAATGTTTTATTTTTAATTATGGTGTTTGAATATTTTGTTATGAAACGTTCGTTAGACATATTTTATTTGAAATTGTGTACTTATTGGTGCTATGAGCGTATTATTCATATTTAGATCCCCCGCCATTGGATAAAACCTCGTTGCGCCAATGGTCAACTTATTTAATTTTTTGGCCAGATAAAGTTCCTGTTCAATGCGATTTCTGTTAAAGACTTGCTATATAAACACATCGGTTAAGCGATTTAAAAGATATCGCGAGTCCAGAAACAAAAAAAAAAATAAAAACAGATCATTGTAAATACAATACCTTCTCAAATTCGTATGGAAAATAAAAATTATTTACTTAAGTAAGTACTACTAATTACTATTTACCAAAGTCAATACCAATATTTTTAACTGTTGATCACTACTTACTTTTAATAATTATATATAGCTCATTAACATATTATAATGTTTTCATGATAACATTAAACATGATATTATGATTCGTTACGGTTATGACCTTGAAGATGTTATTCTGTTTTTACTTCCTATCTTTAAAGACCGCGTTATTTCATGTATTAATTTTACACTAGTATCTATAACACAAGTTTTAAAAGGTTAATACATTTGATAGATGAATAAGGAAGTAAAGAACATTAGTTTTTATATCCTTCAGTGAGTTTTCCTCAATTTCATAAACTGAAAACAAGAAAACCAAAATGTTGTACAGGACATTGTTTGTTGTTTATTGTTTATTGTTAACACACGGAACAAGCCAAAAAATATTACATACATCACTGAAATAGTATTTTCAACTAAAAATTTAGTTAAGTCAATTTTAATTTAATTGACTTTACTTAATGTTCTGGAGAGTCCATTGTATAATGCTTAGTTGTCATTTTTTATATATTATTCTTACAACTTTGAACTAGGCGATTCCTATCCCGAATGATATCTCCCAAAACACGGCCAAATTAACTACCCAAAATTGCAAACCTATAACTTAAAACAATAAGCGTAACATAATATTTGGTTGACTACTTTAATCCACTTTAATACTTTAAATTAGGATTGATAATAGATGAAATATTTATGCTTATAAAATTACAATTTTTATAGAATTGTTTAATTTATCAAATAAATGTAATTTATAAATATTAACCACAAGGTATTCCCAGATTTAACGAGTAGACGATTATAGATATTTTACAATTTATAAGTTATAGTACCTATAGATGTATTGTTTAGAAATGTATTTACTTTATTTGACTGTATTCAAAGTTATTTTATTTACTCCTCTCCTATAGAAACATCACATACCTATGAAATAGGTATGTGATGTTATAATATGAAATTATAAATTACAAAATATATAGATATTTTGTAATTTATAATTTCATATTACGTATTAACAAGTACACTCGCTGGATGGCTTTTTTTTTTTAAATCAATGCCTTATGTGCTTACTTACAATGACTTATTGTATATAGCGTTTGTACAGATTGTTGTACTTCTAACAAATATAAATATATTATGTATAGTATTCTGTGTTACGCAGTAGGCTCGAAATAATTTCACTATTGTGTACAGTATCGGATAAAGGTGATTTAGTGAATTTGTGTAGAAAAAAGAAACTAACAACTAGCTACCAGTTTTAGGTTATTACTATAATTTCACCACAAGCATATCACAAACCATGTAGCACGTTATTATTAATATGTTTTAATATACTAAGTTATTCAGTGCCATAGCTATAATATCTGACCGTGCCCCTGATGCCCTCTGGCTTTAGCACTAGACAACTTTTCAAACTTTGTTTTACTCTTACACAACTATTAATCAGCATTGGTTATATTTTGATCGTTCAATTAATTTTGCATTTTTAGCTAACCACTTTTTTAAAATGAGTATACATGATATTTATATGTATCATATAATATGTATTAAAATTAGAGTTCAGATTATGTCCATAAATGTGTTAAAAATCAACATATGAAATAATATGCCTTTATTGAGTTCGAACAAAAACTTTTGCCGAGTTTTCAAATAGTCGACTTGAACATATAAATAACATTTTACATAGGTTTATTATTTAAAAAGGTTTTATACGTATCAGGATAATATTGAATTACAATTATTTTGGTAATTTTTCAAGTTTAAAAGAACAATGGTGATTGTTTTAGAAATTTTGGGCAATATTTTATAACCAGAATTTTTGTTTAATACTTTTCTCATATTATGTATAATTTTCTTAACCTCATACTCAGAAACACGATTAAAGATAATAAGAAAATGGAACATTTTAAATAATTATACTTACAAATATGCTACTAAATCTAGAAATAATCGTTGTAGGCAAATGTATGCTTAAAAGTGTCAAATAGGCAAATATATGTTAAATGTTCAATATAGGTTAGCTGATTTGAAATCTAGTCTTTATGAATCGAATTTATATTGTATTTTAGTATAATTCTGATTTCACTAAAAAAATATGCAAAGTCATAAACATCCAAGTTTGATTTATAATATATTTTCCACTGTAGATGTATTAGTATTTCAATATCACAAAACTAAAAATGACATTGTCTAATGAAACTGGTTAGGTTCAATACTCTAAGACCTATTACAAAAAATAATTTTACATATTACGTTTTAGTCAAAACGAAATCCGAAATTAAATGTTTCGTCATTTAACACAGTTATTATTTTTTAAATTAATATATTCGCTTTAAACATTCACAGACCACATACTTCTAAATTGTCTATGACAGAGATTCATTACAACATAATGTGATTCATGTGTATAATGACTTTTTGATTTTGATTTTGAATAGAAGAAAACAGTTATAATACGTTTGAAACGTTTGATAAGTATAACTATTATAGTTTCTTACCTTAAAAGTAGTATTATTATTAGTATAGTTAAAAATATACTATCGACCTGTATTTTTAGACTATACTATCGCTATACACATATAGTTCAAAAAAATAAAAAACAAAAGTTTAGGCATAGCTCACGAGAAAAGATAGTTAAGTACCTAATTTCCTAAACATACGTTTGATTTTATAATTTATTAGCCAGTAACAATTTCTGAATTTCAAATTTAATTTTTAATAAAAAAAAAAGTGAAACCACAATAACTTGAATAACTCACAAACACTACTCTTGCTCTATAACAGTCTAATTAATAGAAAATCAAGTCAATTTTTAAAACCTTAATTCAAATTATTTACTAAAAATTTAATATTAAGTCCAACTGAATGGGAAAAATAACAAAATTAGAATTTTCTGTATTTCATCGTTTTTTTTCAGTATTGAATTTAAACAAATTTTGATGTACAAGATTGCTATTTAGACATTACCAATTATTATTTTGATATTAGTGTTACATTTTTTTTGAAGACTTAAAATAGTAGTTTTTTGGAAATTTGGATATTGAAAGTCCCAACCAATTGATAAATACATCAATATTTTATTCATATTAATATAAACATACGAGTATCAATAAAAAATAATACTCATATAACTTTTTAATGCATTCTAAATTAATTACATGTACAGCTTATTTAATAGTGTAGCATAAGATAAAAACAGTCACGGAAACAGTATCCATGTATGTCAAATATAATACAGTTAGTGTATCGATTATAAAGAAAATTGACCTTCCTGTTAAAAAAAATACACTAATAAGTTAATTAGTGGTTTCCCGACTTTTTATCGGAAAAAAAATAGCAATAACGATCTTAGTAACAAATTTTCACTTGTAAAGTTTATATTTTAGCCTTTATTCATTAAAAGTTCTTAATTTGCAAAAATTGATTCTTTTAACTTACCAAAAAAAGTCAGAATAAAGCCTGTGTCATATAATCTTTTGAATAATGGCTTTGAATGATTTTTACACTTAATATATTGTATGACTCTTTCAATTAAAAACCGATTTCAAAAATGTAATATTAATCTAAGTGTGTGTGAATCGAGTAGTACGCAAGAATGGAACACGGAGAAATGTTTTAGACACAGAAAAAAAAGTTAATATTCAATGACAAGATAGTCTCCTTGACCTACCGTAACAGTATAATAAAACAGGTTTACTTACACTTTTGCAATACCTATGTATGTATAATAAAACAAATGCAGTTATATTCATTTTTTATGGTTTCATTAGCGGTATTATATTGGTCTTAGTATACTCTTAAACAATTATTATGTTACTTCAATTTATTGTTAATCTTTGTACTTCGATTCACATTCAAAATTTCGATATTATTTGTAAAAGTATCATCGATGAGTTATACATCGTAAGCTACAATGTTGTATCGTATATATTGTAATATAAAATAGGGATTGACCACAAAGACATGATTGTATTATATATTTGTCAGTCTTGCAAAAACATGTTTGCTAAGTCTATAATTATATAGTAAACTTAATTATGGTATTATCAACCTTTAACATTTCATAAATCACTATTGGCGGGTTCTTCTTCTACAGTATTATTAAGTATAAATTATTTTGTGTACACATGTTTTACTATTTGTGATTAACTAATTAAAGGTACTTCTTCAAATTTCCCTTGTGACTTAATCATCTTAATCGTCTGGAAAACAGAAATTAAAATTGTATTTTACTTTACATTAATCTATCACCATTTGACTGCAAAATCTTCGAAAAATAAAAGTGTAATATTAATGAATAAAATATAGTTCCCTAAAAATACATTTCTCGCGTCAAATCCACCACTGATTCAGTGTTCTTGATTTATTTTAAATATTACCAAATATTTTAGTTTTTTTAACATTATATTTACTAATAGATATTATTATAATTTTTTAATATTAATTACAATATAAATATATTTACAAGTGTTTGGCTTAAAAATTGAAACATATGTTTTTAATAAAAATGTATTTAATGTTTATTTATTTTAGGAGATTCTTATTTAGGTATCTGTTATGTTTACTTTATAGTAGTATAGGTGCATTTTAATAGCGACACTATAGTGTACCTCTTGACTATACAAGCATTGTTTTTTAATTTTTCCTTTTTTTTTAATAATAATATTAAGAATCGCCTCAATATACCTACATTATACTAATAATTTACGTTAAAACATAAAATAATAATAAATAGACTTAACAATGGGTTAATGACTAACGATTCAATAATATTTTGCAGATGGGTCATTCTACACGAAATCACCTAATCATTCATTCTTTGTAGGTCCTTAATGATGACAAAATTAAAAATAATTTTTTTGGACCTAGATGGTTTGATTAAAAAATAAATAGCCTCCAAAAACATGTTCCCTACTCTGTATTTTAGCCGTCGATAGTGATATTAACATGAAACCTGCATAGTTAAAATTCTAATTAATTATACTTAAACCATACATTAAAATAAATATATGTATATATATTAATCTTGAAAGATTTAAAAATGTTTTTCAATTTTTAAAAAATTTTTTTTGGGGTCAAAAAATTGAAAAAATATTTCTTAAATAAAATTTAATTTATGCTCTCATAAGAGCATAAATTAAATTTTAATGGTAACGATATGGGTCATAACCCATATCGTCTTTGAAACAATTAAGTTTTTTTTTACTATTAATTTACGGTTTCAAGCATGGGTAGTTTTCTGAATACTGCCTAATTTAATGACTCAAAACACATGTACCTGGACGAAATTTTCAAAATGTTTGCAATACTTACTTATAAGTTAGTAGAACATCTGGTAAAAGTTTTGTAATGGAATAAATTGAATAGTTGCGTAGTGTGTATATTTCCAATAAATTTAAATCAGAAAACTTGAACCCATATTACTGGTGTTAAAGTAATTCCTCCAACACCAAGTACACATAATTCGAATTTAAACTATGCAGGTTTAATGTTGGTACCACTATCGGCGAGGTGGTTAAATTACAGAGTTGAGAACATAAAGATATTATTTTTTTAAATCGAACCATCTAGATCCAAAAAAATCGTACATATATTATAGGATGATTTTACGTGAAATGACCTAGATACTGAAAGAATTCAAGAAAAAAAGATTTAATTAGGTGCAAAAGTGCTACTAAACATAAGCGTTTCTGTATGCAAAATATGAAATTAGCATAATACTGAGAATTGAGAAATATGTACACGTTAGATATACAGAAAAAAAAAAATTAAGACACACAACTAAAACACTATTAAAACAATTCATATATTATTCCAAATAAAAATTTGCATTTTTTAAAATCTTCTTTATGTTGTTCGATTACTTCAAAATATTGTATTCGATTATAATGAAATGGGGATTGGTAGAAAAAAATTACCGTAGGAGGGTAAATTAAAAAAGCAATAGTTGATCGAAAAGATAATATGGAAATTAACGTGTTAACCTTCAAGAGAGTTTTGCTCTGTATTAGTACAGTACAACAACCCATAAAGTAGCATCTCACCTCTGATCTCACCTGACCACTAAATAAATATGTATAAATAATAATTTGTGTGTGAAAATTTCATAAAATATAACATTTTGAAATATTTTTATTATTTTTGTTTTTTGTCTTGTAAAATAATTAAATAAAACAAATAAAATTCTTCATTAGCATGCATTGTCAATTTACAGCAATATAAAAAATATTTCTTTTGCCGTAATATTTTTTTACAACCTTCACGAGTGACATTTTTTACTGTTCCAGTTGCAACTGTGTCCCAGTTGCAATAATTGCACACGTTCATTATTACAGTTTTATTATATTTTTTTATTTTCTGAATTCCGAAACATATTTTAAATTTTGGTACTTTGTATATAAAAAAAAACTACGCATCGAAGATAAAATAATACAGTGTACTTATATTACACTTAACTGAATATAAAAGTTAAATCACTTTAATGTGTGATAGTGATTGCACGTTGACAAAAGATAATACTGCTATCCAATTATCTCCTAATTGTAGTTAATGAAGCTTATATTTGTAGGTCAGTAGGGCCAATAGTGAATATTTAATAAAAATTCAATATTTCAAACTTTTAAGACTATATATATATATATATATATATATATATTTGTCAACCCTCGCTATAGTCATAATATGCGCCGAGGCTAATTTACTTTCTTGTATAATTTACTTGCGTTTTGTAGTACTTTGTGAGCAGAAAAAAACTCTAGAATTTTATTTTATTTATTTTACTTAGAAAAATTTCAATTGTTATTCATACATCTATGATTTATATGATTATTATGCTCTAAAAGATGTATTGAAAACAAAGAATGGTATTATTAGTGAGAAGTAGTTCAGGGCATTTATTGTTTGCTTTAACTTTAACATGTATAGTGATTTTTTTTAAAGCATTTAAATATCAACAAAATTATCAAAATGTAATATCATCAAATATTTAAATGATAATATTACATTTTATAAGAACTATAATTGTACAAATTATATTCGTGTTTTTAGTTTTTTAATGGATTTTTTTCTTAACAAAAATAAAGTTTGACAACAGGTTTTATTAAAAAAAAAATGATTATGTGATAGTCACGCTAGATCCTACACCAGATCTACCTATAATTTCAAACTTTGTATAGACTTTCGTTTTAGACCATAAGTACAAAACTAAGCCTAAAAAGTTAAATAAGAATAAGTTAGATTGGGAGTTCTCTTCTAATAGGATAAGACATAATATACATACATTTTTCATATTTATTAGTTTAAAAAATACACGAGAACGATTTATTTAATGTCAAATGAGTAATGTTTTGTCTATAAGAAATTATTGAATTTCAATATCTAAAGCAAAAAATATTGTTTTTATTAATATTGTATCGTAATTCGTAAGATAGAAATCTTTTCAAAAATTGGTTTTGGCAGTGTTGTAAAATCCCTAAAAAACGTAAAAACTTGTAACTATAAAAAAAAAAAAAGAGTAAGTATAGAACATCGAGGTCCTGGTGTTCTAGTCATACCATACAAATGTTTATTGTTTATTATCCTACACATATTTTTATTATACGGGTCTAAAAAAATTGTCAATTTTCTGTTGCCTTTGCGCGCGAATTACACTTGCATCAATTTTTCTTGAAGTCGTTTTAACATTAAGCCTGAAAATCATCTTTGTTCGTAATTTTTCTATAAAATAACTTAGCATTTCGAAAATAATAGTGCCGAATTACTGGACGCGTCAGGCTATTACATAGCCGGATTACCAAGAGTCCACTGTATTATATTCAACAGTTCAAGCAATTATGTGTATATCTATTTTTTTCACAATAATTACAAATATTGTATACGGGTACGGTAGTTCTACATATTCATTTAAATATAAGTCATAAAAAACGGAGGTCATTAATTAATAACTAATAATAATTAAATGACACACATCATTGAACAAAGAATTACCCCACTAAATTGATTTGATAAAATCTCAAAACTAGGTTAGCAGCAATACGTCAACGTACAATATAAAATTATGTATATGTTATTGGCATTGAATACATTTTTTTACACTTTGAAGTTTTTCAACACTTCCAAATCATTTACATTATTTTCGCCAGTCATACCAAACTGATTTATGTATAGATTATTGCTACTAGCTGTTTTATACTAGATCGTTTCAATTGTTTATGCAAGATACTACGGGCAGTTACCTTCAAATAGTAAAAAGTTTTTTGTGTAAAAAAAAAAAGCATGTCAAAATTAAAGCAATACTGAAATTTTGATCTAAAAAAAAAGTGGTTATGAAAAAATGTTTAAGTAGGCACAATTCATGAAATCATAATAATATAAATACGGGTAAAAAAATCAACCCACATTTTACATACATTGCTTACACAATGATTTCATCTTTAGGCGTCAGATTTAAAAGAAATGTAAGCGTTGTTTTAAGGGATGGACTAGACGGGCTGATAAAAGTTAAATAATAAAATATGTTATCTGTCGATTTTAAAAAAAAACGTGTAGTTTTTCATCTAGTTAGCTATGTAAAATAAAGTCCCTTCATTTAACCTAATCTGTAATGATTATAATACTTCTTCAGTAAAATAAAAATAATAATAAGAATGAACTGAAACAAAAATGTACTATTATTACTCATTTGTTTGTTATTTGAATACAAAAATTATCCTAATATTACTATTATGTTATAAGATTAAGTTTCAAAATAAATAATTGAGCAACGATCGTCACGCAGCGTTTGGGATTACTTACTGGGTAAACAATGAAAGATCAGTCACATAACGCCTAAAGACTATGTCATTAAATCTTCCAAACCAGCAATGTTCAAATCAAAACAGGTAGCACGCAGATTAAGAGAAACATGTTATGTAAAAGCAAAACAGATGATAATAATAATAAAAAAAATAACAACCACTCACTAATAACACCGGAGATTAGTGTCCTTAATGTTTTTTTTTAATTGCCCATAAAAAAGTTTTAAAAAAATCCGAATCAACAGCTTTAAATATTACCACTTTAATTGTATCGACAACAGGACTTGCTTACCTTACGTTATTTATAAAAAAAAATGAAAATCTTCATATTATTATATATTTCAAAGCATGGAAGCCATTTGGGAAGTGTTAAAAGAGCTATTTTTAAGTTTTTCACACAAAAAGTCTGATTTTTTTCCTATTCTTATTGGGACTCCATATTTTCATAGTATATTTGAAATTGAATTATTATCTTTAACCGTATGTTTCGATACTGTAAATTTTAATTTTAATTGAAGCTTAGAACTTGTTCGAAATAATATGTATTCCAATAGTTTAATTATTATTTAGAATTGTTTTAATTGCAAAAAAAAACTATATATTGAGAAATATTATTGTACTATTGATAAAACCCATTTTTTTTTTATTGCTAAATTATTCTTTTAAAGGCAATAGAACAATTTTATTGTTGTACAAATAATGCATAACGTTACATGATAATTGGCTTTCTAGTGACGTATAGCACTAATTAATCTTAATTTTTGCCTGAAAACAATGTTTGTTAAATGAATGTAAGCATTTTATAAGAGATAAGCAATTGAAAGACCAGAAATTCTAAGTATGTTTATTGTTTACTAAAAAAAAACCGGCATTTCACTACTTAGAACTTTTATTTTGAGCGACAAACAAAAATTGTACCCTATTCCATTCAAAAAGGATGCCACACGTGTCGTTTTCTCGTGCAAAACTAAGAAATAGCACTGTGCTCACATGCAAGAACAATTTTTGAAACTCAAATGATGATTTGAATTCTAAGAATCTCGAAAAAGCTCATGGGTAAAACATAGTTAAATTTTTATTTTTGTAATAAGTTAATAAAAAAAAATCATAATTTTTGATAAAATTGTATTGCGAGAGGCTCTTTTTCGAGAAAAGCGTATACAACGTACCTAGTTGGTGATAACCTGACAAAAGAAGACTAAAGAACATTTTTGTCCGTTTTAATTTTACTCAACCCATAAACACGATATTATTGTCCGGCGTAAGCGATAAACATTTACAACAATATGTAATCGGTATTTTAAAATTGATCAGGTTAACTTTACTTACCAAGCGGATCCAAACGGCAGCGTTGAGCAATATTGACAACTGCACGAGTTTCGCTCGACTAAACTTAGAAGTGTCGGTCGGATAGTAAGGGCGGCACATTAATTCCAAATCGGCGGATTCTAGAAGACTTCCACATGTGGTGTCCGGTGGCTTTTTTGCGAAATCGGGTCTAGGCCGCCGTGCTTGATCTTACAGACCGTCGCCGTTTCGCGTGTATTCGTACGTTCAGCGGACAAACTATGGCACTTAAACGAAAAACCGGTACCGATGTGATGTACACACACACACACACACCGCCTATTTTCAAGGTTAACGCGCAAAGCACCTCCACGGTGCGTTATTTTTCTTCTTCTGATAGACTGCACCGATTCGCTAATCTGGTATAATTTTCAAATGTCATGCCGTACCACTTACCTTACGCCGTGCCTACATTGTAACACCAACAGCATAGGTTAATACTTAAACAGAACATTTTGCCTGACAAGGTCGAACCACGCTCATATTACAATTATTTGTGTAGATATATTTAATCACACCACATAATATGTATGAATTTCCTAACAATGAGACGGGTCTATTGGTGAGACATGATAATTATAGGTACCTACACCAGTTACAAATAATTATAATTTTTATTTTCCAATAATTAAGATAGCTGAATAACGCGTAGAGGCCTCCCTTCCAGTTTCGTCTTTCATAACATCCTCAAAACCAAGTTCTTAATATATTTTTCTACCGCAAATAAAATTTGAAAATTCTGCATTTCAGTTAAGATTTAAATTAAAAGATATGGATTAAAGGAGAAAAGAATAAAATGACCTCTCACCTCAACTCTCACACAAAAATAAAAATAAACACAACTCAAACTAGTACAGTAGGAAGTTAAAAATATTACGTAGACGCAATGATAAAATCTAAAACTAATGACACCACTGTTAAACGCATCGATACGAATTTCGGGACATCACAGTAAAAAGTGGGCTATCAGCTTTGTAACATTTCATTTTAATACAATGGTCAATGTCTACTATTTATCAGTACTAAGTTTCAGACCAAAAACTTGTATTATGTAAAATTTTAAAAATGATAAAAATCTTAGATTAAATTCGGCTTATTCAACAAAATTATGTATATTAATATTCATCTCTCTAAAACGACTTTAACACACACTAACTATTGTTTACCCAAAAAAAAAAATTGTCGTTTTTTCAAACTTAACTTTTAGTCAAATCACAATAAGTATTGAATTAGAGATAACTAAATGAATCAACGACAGAAACTAGATATTTTTTGTAACAAATAAAGGTTGCATTTAGTAGCAATAATAATTGTAAAACAAATCGGGATCCCAGAAGGTAACAACCATTATAAAAGTTGAATTGGATTAAATCAACTTTCAAGCAAGTATCAACAAAGAAGAAGCCATTTAATATTGTATTGTTTTTTTTTTTTTTTTTACAAGAAGAATACATAGACAAAAAGGAATCAAGAATGGTCTACGTACAGCATACTAAAGACATAGATGTATTATCTGATTAATGAGAACATTGCGGTCTCGCCTAACCTACTTGGTTACAACAATTAATAAATAATGTAAATTTTGACTTGAAAAAGTTTTCAATCTCTGCTAATTTCTTTTACATAGCTCAAAAATCTTATACCAACCAAAAGTATTTCGATTTTTGACAATTATTCTGCCGTAGAGTTTATACATTTGAAATTTAAAAACGAAATCGGCTGTTTTTGTTGTTGAATATCGAGCGTTAGCCGTATGATTAATATTATCAATAGCTCGGATTCATACAAAATATCATAACAATACAATAAGGAAACAGCTGTTTTCAATGCTAGCCCTAGATACCGGCCGGGTGTTGGTTCACTACCGGTGATATTGTATCTAAGTAGTTACTAACTATTGTAATATCATTAATAATACTATACGATAATTCGCAAAATGATATTTAACATTTCAATATTGTAGTAGTTAATAATATCTTAAAACCGTTTTTTGTTTCACTCGTTTGTGTTAATTATAGATTTCCATTTTTATAGATACGTTTAATTGTATTGTAGTGTAACATTATGAACGATCATCATTCTAAGTTAGAAGACTTGGACATTACTAAACAAGAATTGGAAAACATTGGCGAAGCGTTGAAAAATGAGGAGTTTCGCAAGCTCCTGTGCGAATATGTCGATGAAATAAACGATCCAAATAACCGTGCTCGTTACGAACAAGAAATCGCCCAGTATGAATTGGAACGAGGCGTACAGGTGACGTTCATAAGACCGATCGCCGGTTATGTATTGAAAACCAGCGTGAATGGCACCCGTAAAGTGTTTGTCAACATATGTTTCTGTGATGTTATTCAAAAACCCTTTTCCCGTCATAGTGCTGGAGGAGAACATTGGTCTTTGCCTCACTGTCTGTCGCCTGTTAGGCAGGACTACGATAAATCACAAAAATCGTGTGATGTGTATGATGTGATTTTTCATCCAGAGGCTTTAGAATTAACTAAATGTGGAAAGAGGCTAAAAGATTTAGTTGAAGACACGGCCCTCACGATGATAGAGAAAAATTACAACCTAGTTCTGGACAAGACCAACCTAAAGTATCCTAAAATAGCGTTCAAAGGAATCATCAGACCGTTAATAACTAGAAAAAAAACTAAAGACTTCAAAGAAACGCCCGATGAGGATATCCTACCTGGATGTCCATACAAACCCCCCAATGACCGACCAATTCAGACACACGATTTGGGCGTCCTTGAACAAACATCGTTGTACACAGTTCCCAGGCATATAATTAAATATCGATCCGATATTGACATTCAAGAGCACAGTTATAATATGCATTGTAAAATGAACGCTGTTATACCGAAAGAACTGATTGTTGAAATTAACCTGCCTCTTTTGGATACTTCAGCGTTTGTCGAGCTAGACGTATTGCCTAGGTCATTAAAGTTAATTTGTCAAAAGCCTTCAAAGTACAAACTAAATATCGATTTGCCCTACACCATTTTGGAAGACGATGGTAACGCTACTTTTGATAAAAGTGCTAAAAAACTTATTGTACGTCTACCCGTCCTGAGAAAAGAACCTCAACTAGAAAATTGTAAGGCACTTATAAGCGAAGTAGCCAGTTCAAAAAATATTAAGTGTGAAAACAACAATGAAGTAGCACTAGATGGTATTAGTGAAATAACGTGCAATGGTCAAAGTATAATAAGTAATAAACAAGATAAAAAAACAAATGGTTTTGAAGAACATATAAATGGCCACCAAGAAAAAAAATGTAACGGCTCTGTTAATAGTGATGTAAATTATATAGATGAAGAAGATGTCCATTATATACTTCCAGAACATGAATTTATTTTTGGCAATATCTCTATTCTCAAACTAAATGTAAGTAATGTTGATCCTTCGACTGTTAAAATAATTGTTGTTAGGGACGCAAATATGATCTCCGGAAAATTTCATTCCATGGGTTCTGGGTATTTCCCAATTTGGTATGCTTTTTGCCTTAAAATACCATCCGAATCAAGTTTTTCAAACTCTAATGTTAAAATATTACCTTCGGATGAAAACGTGATATTGGAATTTAATGTTAAACATAAATTTAACAGTAAAGAATATTGGTTTGGCCTCGACAAACAAAAATTGACTGTTAGAAATATTAAAATTGATGTACTCAAAGATAATGTTAACATGCTAGACAATGGTGTATTATGTAATACAACAGCTAACAACAAAATTAATGATCATTGCGTACATGAAAATGATAATGGTGAAAGTAAAAACGACGTGTTAAGAAGACAACATAGCTTAAAGGAAAATGAGCCGTTAAGTAACAATTGTCAGTGTAAAGACAAAAACAGTAAAAACGGTAAGCAAAATGAAAGACCTAAGAAGAAAAAAGGGAAAAAACTACAAAAATCTAATGCTATACCAATCGTTCATACTGGAAGTTTACCGGAAGGTAGCAAAAGTATCGAATTTAAGCCAGGATCGTTGCCAGTAGAATTCAACAACATAAAGCCAACTATTGTAAGTATTTAAAAAATACTATGAGTTTTAATAAAAAATTGTATTATATATTTTTTTCCCTTTTGACAGCGTGGTATTTTGAAAAAGAGTAGAAGCCTTTCAGAATGTAGTATTGCGGAAGACGTGGCAGAGTTTCCACAGATGTTTAGTTCGTCAGTAGGTAATGTAGACACAGAAAGTTCTGAGGTGTTGGATTCCAGCTTCAATGATTCTAATCATAGAAAGTCGGTTCGGTTCAACGATAACGTGATAGAAAAAAAATTTGAGTAGGTTTTATTCATATTTTATTTGATGTGTCCAATTTTAAAATATGTTTTAAACATTTTCAGTCTGAACTTGAGCATTGCAGCACAATCAAAAAAACACCAAAGACGACAACAGCGCAAACGCAATATACGTGAGTACAACACACCGAGCGAGAGTGAAACTTCTGAGCCTGAAGACAAAGTTTATGGACCACTCAACGAGATATCCGAAAGTGAAGAAACTAGTGTGTCCGAGAGTAGTGCTGGTGAAATGTCCGACGATAATAGTAGTTCCGTTCCATTGTCAAAAATTACACCTTTAGCTGATTCGAGAAAGGACCATAAAAGACGCAAGAGCAAATCCGCCAGAAAAAATGCTTCGCTCGCCAAACAGGCATCCACCAACAGTCTAATATTTCCGATTGAATATTAGTTTTTGCATTACCTACCTCATTAATATTGTTCAATTATTAAAAAATTATTATTCTTAAGTCTCGAGCGTTTTTTTGGTGCATTAGTTTTTCATTTTTAGAAAATATTTATTTACAAACATTTTGTTTTAATTTAAAATTATTGTCATTGTTTTCTTTTTGTCATTAAGTGTTTATAGTACAAGACACAAATTTGGATAAATGAATGAATTATAGAATCACTTTTATAAAAGATATAAAATGCAATTTATTTTAAATCATTTATTTACTCTCGATGCAGCTGTATTGTTCTTATTATTCGTTTAAAATATATATTTAAAAAAAAAAAGGTAACCTACAAAAAAGCCTGCAGTATTTACTGTTTAAATTACATTCACTAATCACCTATAAACATTGTAGTAGATTTAAAAAAAAATTAATTTTTATAATAGCATAATTTAAAAGTAAAAAAGTTATAAAATCATAAAAAAAATCTGTTGCAAGTTGAAACACATTTTATTTTGTATATTAATTTTGTAGAACAGTTTTTGTAATTTCTGAATATAAAAAGTAAATATACCAAAAGTTGCAGTGGTCAACACCACAGTGTATGGGAATGCTTGGAGGTTAAGAAAATGGACAAGCTGTTGAATTATTTTTTAAAGATAATACTTTCTCAGCTTTGCATTGAAGCTTACCTTAGATAATAATTAAGTATCAAATTAAAACAAACCAATTTTCAAACTAAATAATAGTAAAATTTAAAAACCACAGAAAGCATAAATTGCTTTCTGATAAGTAGTTTTAATAATAATCACAGATTTATGTTGCACATAATTTATTTTTTTGGTGTTATTAGCAAATATTAGTAATGTTTAAAACTTAGTAATAAAACCGTTTACATTATTATCCTACACAAATAAAAAATTAAAATAGCAATAACATGTGTGATGGGTCAAACAACAGTATTCTGTTTTAAAATGTGACGAAAAAAATCATATTTTTAACAAAAACAAAACAATAATAACAATAATATTAATAATATTTGGTTAGCTTATAAAATATCTTTTTTTTAACTTAGTCAAATAACAATAATTAGTTCATAAAACACCGATGCATTGTAGGTTTTATTTAGTTACTTAATAAAACCAATAAAAAAAACAAAACAGTAATCTTATTTTGAAAAAAGATTAACTGTGATGTAACTGTAGCTAAACAGTTTTAAAATGAATAGTTATTATTACTTTGTACTAGTAGTTCTAATAAAATGGTAATAAATAATATACAGTTAATAATTTTTAAAAGGTAGGTTCTTTGGTTTTGGTTATGATAAAATACATAATAAAATGGTAACTTGAACTAATCGTTTAGTTGGAAAATGGAAGTTGGATTTAAAAAAAAAATAATTATTTTGTCTTTTAAACGAGATCAATTTGTTAAGATTGACAGTCAATTAAGTGATGTACTAAATAAGTTTATAAAACTTTAAACATTATACTACTCATGTGCCGTTAATTAAGCTTTTTTTTTAAAACTTGGTAAACTAACATCTTCATTATCAAATAAATTGTAGTAAGAGCGGCCATGTTATACCAATATATGTTGACAGGCATGTCTAAGTCGTTCAACACTTTTGACGGTATCGTGTTGTAGCAGTACATCTAGATGTTGTATAGATTATAATACAATTTTTAGTAAAGAAAAAGTCTTGAAAATACAACGTCTAACATACTTTAGGACAATGTAGTTTGGCCCTGTTTGAACCGTAAACACAGTGTAATATTGCTTCCATAGCGTGTTTCATGAACGAAATATCAAACATCCATCGAAACAATAACGGAGTATCAGAAATTTTAATGAATACACCGCCAAACATCATCCACGGCATGAGCAAAAAACTTGTGAATACTGTACTGAACTAGACAAATTAAAAAAAAATTCCATTTAAAATATTTGATACCTAACTATAAATAGGCGTTGTTGTTATGTAGGTAAATTATTGTAATTCTGGTTTTTTAGCTATAAAGCTAATGTTAAAACCCCCTGAAAAATTAACTAAATAGATATTAATAACATACTTTTAAATCATCAAATAGTGTTCCCATGAGCATGCCGATTGCCTGTGACAAAAGCCCAACCATTAAAACTATAAGTGTAAAGAAAGTGAATCTCAAAAATTCCGGTGGTTGACCGGTGAAATAATAAACAACCACACAGTACAAAAATGTACAAAGCATCTGAAAAGAAAACATTTATATATTTAAAAAAAATCGAACAGTCATGGGCATAGATTTTAAATAACTAAAATTGATCGACACTAAAAAAAAAGCTTTGTTATGAAACTGTAGATAGTGTGAACTCCTCAAAATGTATAACAATAATTTTTTACCCAATAAACTTGTAAATAATCGTGTTTTTTGTTTTTATGATGGCTAGGTTAGGTTAGGTTAAAAAAAGTGCAATTACAGATTTTAGATTATTTGTTGTTTTTTTTTTAAATGGTTTATACTTACCTTCAGTCCTAAATCTACGCCTAAAAAAAGCAAAATAAAGGAAAAGATACCCCTTCTAAAGAAAGTGTTAACAATATTTTCTTAAGTTTTTCACTGTATGAAACGATTTCTGACCTATAGATTTGCATACATGAAAAAATCGATCCAAGGGTCAAAAGAGATAATCATCTCATATCTACACATCATCTTAAAAACAACACCTGTTCAGTTTCACATTAAAGCTAAAAACTAATAAGTTAAACAAAATTAAATGCTTAATACCTGGACAGGTAAATCCACAATTGTGTTACTGATATAGTACGTAGTCAACGAATACCATTGGTTGAAATGTTCTTTCGCAAGCACTTGAAATTCTAAGGGGACTGTAAAATATAAAACTGAATAATCACAACTAATAATTAAATAAATTGGGCAAAATCTGGATTTTTAAAAAATTTAAATCTAAAAAACACTCTTTAGAGTTTTAATATCCCTTTATTGAAAATCTTTAAAATTTGGATACTTTAACTGTTTAAATTCTGTTAACAAATAAATATCAGTTTGCTTACAACTTATTATCATTGTCGAACTCGCAGTGTACATAATAAACATTAAACTGAAAAACAGCAGCATTAAGTTATCATGGATGAACGAGGCATTGTCACCAATTCTAAAATATATCCAAGCGTACAACGAGCCCACCAATATATGAACCAGTAGTCTTGTGCTTAAAAACTGGAAAAAGTAAATTTAAAATAAATACCCATAGCAATTGTTTTTTTATTAATACACTAATGTTGGGTTGCATAAAGAATTAATAAATTTAATGATTCATTCGAATTTAATGGACCCATCACAAGCCACTAAATTATGTTATAGGAACCCTCAAACATCTATTGGTTTATTAAAAGTTTATTGAACATTTATCCAACCCCGCGTAAAACTCAAATTATAGAAATTACTTTTTCTCTTGACATTTTCTTAACAGATCGATGCAAAAGTGTTATAAGCTGAATCAAACAATGTCTATTCTGTTTTGTTATTTTATATTTTTCATCAGGTAACTGAATTTCTGTACAAAAAAATATTAGTGATAAATATCTAATAGTTTTTTATTTTTAATAAAACAAAATCTTACCTCCAACATACTTCGATTGATCAGTGTTATTTATCAATTTGGGTTGTTTTCCGTTTTCAATACTTTTAATCATGTTATAAACGTGATCTCCATGTTCGCCAAGACTTACTTCGATAACTGTGTAAAATAAATAAATAGTCATTAACAACATAATTATTTATTATTTCTCTGTCCATTTACTAACTAAAATCTGCAATGTTGTGGAACAACGGACACTGCAAACCCTGTTCGGCAAGGAAATCGGTTAGGTCTGAAGTTAAACCGTGATAAATACAATGACCCGTAGGCGAGAGCACATATAAAACGTCAAACATTTCTAATTGCAGAGCAGATGCTTGATGAATAGTGCATACAATTGTTCGACCTGATGTCGATAAATCTTTTAACATCGATACCACTTTGTTTGCCGACAAACTATCCAGTCCACTGAAAATATAGAAATGATTGTGAACGACAAACATTAGGTGATCGTAGATAGAAACTTACGTTGTTGGTTCGTCGAAAAACATCATGCTCGGATTGTGAATTAACTCCAAAGCGACCGATAATTTCCTACGCTCACCACCTGATAATTTTGCCGTAAACGTATTACGCTGACTATCCAAATGTAAATTATTTAAAATATCATCTATCTAAAATGAAAATAATGTTTATTATTTTTTATGGTATGTATATATTTAAATACGGTTGTTTACCATTTTGAGTTTACGCGAATCTAACATTAAAACTGAATTCTTTAGTTTCATAGCAAATTCCATAGCCTCGTTGATGGTGAATTCATTATAAAGATGATCTTCTTGCATGATATAACAAGACTGTTTTTTGAATAATTTTATATCTCGTAGTTTGTTGTTGATTAATATTGTACCTGAGTAATTGTTGGCGCTAAAAGAAATTGCAATAAATAAAACAACAACACTAAAAACTTAAAGTACTAATTAAACAAACAAAAATTAAACAGTAAAAGTGTAAATTTAAATAGACCTATGAATATGAAATCAAAATGTTCTCGAAGCATTTCAAAGTGAAAACTGAAAACATAAAGAGCTGTAACATCATTCATCAAATACGAATACTAGTAAATTAAACTTACTACTTACTTATAACCTGATAAAATATTTAGTAAAGAGGATTTTCCACAGCCCGAACATCCTATGATTGCACAAAATTGGCCGTAACTAAAAGCTCCATTTATACCATTTAAAACGGTTTTCTTATCTGCCAAATGGTAAAAGGTTTTAAGTTTAAATAAACCCATTCAATATTTGTATGTTTCAAAATATATACTGTGCTTACTAAATTTTAAATCTTCTGTCCAGGTATTCACTTCATATGTGAGATCTTTAAATTCTACATTTAATATATGTCTCGATAATAATGGTTTTGCCATAATTTCAAAGTATTCGGTGGGATTGAATGGTCTTACTTCTGAGGCCGCACATAAATTGGTATGTTTAATGTAACATTAACAGACATTTATTTGGCGTGGGTATTTGTGAATTAACTAAAATAACAATAAGAAACAAAATCCATCTAGTTGATAAAATGTTTTATTCATTTATTTAAAAAATGTTCCCAGAGCAGCAAAATGTTAAATATAATTGCTTACTTAGCATGTAATTTATTATATAAGTGCAATTATTTCTTGGTCATGGTTATTCATTAGGCATCATGATTGTATATTTTCATTTACATTTCGGTTTAATTAAAAATTAATGAGTATAATTTTACAACAGTCAACACATTAACATTGAGATTTTAGAATATATATAATATTATATTGGCATAAAAACAGATTTATTACTAGGAATATTAAAAAAAAACTTTTTACATTGTACTTTGTTAATAATTAATGTTAAAAACATAGTATAGCCGGCCGTTATAAAACTTCTACTATACTCTTTCAGAATAGAGTATAGTAGTGACTAAAATATAAAATACAGTATGTTTTTCACTATATTCTATAACAGCCAGCGACTACAAAGCCCAAACGCAAATACCCCACCACAGTCATAGATTCACGTATTGAAATTTAAAACATGGGCGGAATTAATTGCTTAATTGAGTCAATCACTATTGTTTTAACACCCATAGCAGGTATTTGCAATTTAATCTTGGTTTGTTTTTGTTATGAAAAACACATTATCGCAGATAAAAAAAATAGGGATAGCTCCACTTTTCCCAAATGACCATTCGCTACCAAGAACCATTTTTTCCATTGTACACTTTTTTCCACCCGACTGGTGCGGAAGGCAACGGAGAAACAACCACACCTTAACCACTTCCCCAGGATGGCAACTTTAAACTTTCGTCTCTACATAATACTTTGTATTTGTATTAGTAATATCTATGAGGAAATCCGACCGGCGCCCACTGATAAGAAACTCGTCATGGACATTTGTAATTTATGCAATTTAAGAAAAGTGGTAGCAACCCGAAAAATATAACACTTCATTATTCTTTTTAATGATTAGTCTGATAAGTGATAACTATTATTGAGTATAAATTGTACAATTTTTACTCAATGTCAATATCATATAAAAAACCGATATCCCTGTCACGCCAAAAACATATTTTACACAGGGAGTGACAGGAAAACAACCCCCCCTCTAGCTTCTCTGCAAGGTAAACAAAATATATCCATATCCCAAAATCGAAAATTAATTACAAAGTAATAGGAAGTAACCCTTTGAATTTTCACCCGCGAGCGCTGTACACTGAACAACAAAATGTAGTGAAAAAAAGGCAATTTTTTTAAATCGCTTTCCTAATATTGGTGTAAACAAACCTTAAGAAAAAAAAATTAACATTTCCTACGCCCAAAGTTTTTCCACCATAACTTAAAAAGTTTCAATATTAAAGAAAATAAAAAAATAATGTTAGTAGGAAATTCAGGTGTATTATTTTATTTTTAGCATTACCCTTTTTGTTTTATAATCGCCCAAAATTAAAATTAATAACAAGTTTTTTTAACTTTATACTTCAATTTCATAATGAATAATAATAATGATTATAATGTCACCCTGCAAAACATTAAAAAAAAATTTACTCGAACGCTAAAAACGAATTTTTGTCATTTTATAATGAAGAAAAAATGACTTATATGTTAAATTTAGATCTAATTGAGTTAGATTAGTTATAATACTAATGCTTAATGATAATTCCACAGATTTTATATAATACAATATATTATATAGATATTATTGTTTTTTTTAATTACACAAAAAAAACAATGGACATTAGGTAATATCATTTAACTTTCAATTGTTAATACACACATTACACAATTATTCTCAACATTTTTATTTCTACTTAACTTAGCGCACAATATGATTTTGGTTTGTGATGTCTGGATGAGAAGTTAGACTAAGAAAATTAAGCATATTTTTTGACAGCTATATAAATTATGTTTTAAGCAACGATGCAGAGCTGTTTTTATTATACAGATTATGATCTACGGTTATGGTTTTTTTTTTTGAAATTTAACTTAAAGGCTTCAACAACTGGAGCCTACTGGAACAACTTATTAACCTAGTGTACATTTTAAATAAATATCATTAACATTTTATGAAATTGAATTTTTATGATTTTCCCGTGAGAAATTTCTATATAATATAAATACAGCTAACATTTTTAAGAAAATAATGTATAATTGTAGATAAAACCGGTTTATGATGATTTGGATTAAAAAAACAAGGTCAAATATTAATTTTAGGCACACATAATATTATCATAATATTATATTTAAAAAAAGATCTATACGCCGTATAGTATTTTTCGGTTACAGTAGTTTTATTTCTATACTTATTTTTTTTTATACTCAGTCGGTAAATAATTTTTTGAATTATATTAATATAATTCAATACATAATTATTGTTATTCGGATGATTGACCTTCATCGAAACGTCTAGCCTCGAGACTTAAGATCATAATATGATCTAAGCCCGGAACAATAAATAGCTAAACCACTCTGTCAATTTTAATGATATAGATAATGATAATGTTTATGACTATAATGCTGTTGATAAGTTAATGGTACCTAATGATTTTGGCTATACATTTAGCGAATAGACCGAGTCCGCGTCGTGGGACACGGCAAGGTTAGGTTATACTTTTGCCTAAAAACTGGTTTTTTTGCGTGACCGTTTCAGCCCTCTACGACATCGGGAAGTGGGTTAAACTAATTTTGCAAGATTTGAAAATACTCATACGTACGTGTTAGCGAGTTAAAGAAAAGCAGGTAAAAGTATATAAATGAAAATAAACATCTTCGTTTTTGATCTTAAGAAAAATATCCGAAATTTCGTTGTCTGTCATCTATATTAAAATAATTGATCAAAGAACGATTTTTATTCAATTTATTAATTTTAAATGTCATTCCAAGTGTTTGCAACAACTAAAAATCGTTTATAAATTGAAAAAAATCAGAATTAATTTCCCCTCTTCAAAATAATAATAAAATAAAATTTACTTTTTTTACACTCGGTAAGTTTATCAATTATATTTAAAAAAGGTTTTGGAACTTATCCAATAATATTTTTGAAATTAAACACTTTAGGAAATAAACAATTGTGTTTATATATATACATCTAAAACATTTATTATGATATAATTACATCAATTTTATGTAAGATACAATTGTAGATAAGTATACAGAGTGTACCGGAAACAAATGTCACTCTACGGGTTAGCTACGGGATTTTTTGAATTTTTTTTTTTTGACAAAAACTTGTATTTTGCTGGTTTATTTGTGAAATATCAATCAAAAAATAAAAATAAACTTTACCATGGAATTTCGTGAAAAATGTTCCTGTTAAAAAATGATCATTATTATTACCGCTATTTTTGACTTATGTCCAAAATCGTAAATATGGTGAGACTTATGAATTAGTATGGGCAGTTACCAAAAGTTATCAGGGATTTCCGTAGTGATTATTTAATGAACTTATTAGAAAAAAAAACTACTAATTTCGTGGTAATAATTGATTACAGATTTTGCTCACGAAAAAAAAAAATACCAAATCGAGTGACCCCTTGTTATATAAGATCATTTTTCAGAAAATTCCATGGTATGGTTTTTTTATTTTTGATGGATATTTTACAAAAAAAAACCAGAAAACCATAAGTTTTTTGATACAAAAATAAAAAATTCAAACGATCTTTTCTTAGGGCCTCCTATATAATACCACCTGTGAGAAACTTGTTACTAGTATATTATGTATAATTTAAAACCGCTCATAACTACAGATTAACAATTACTTAGAAATGACTAAGTACAATTTCAAAACACTTGAAATATACATTTAAAGATTAATAATAAACATTAGTTATAATTTATAACTTATAATTATTGCCAAGTTAATAATAGTGTACAAGATACAGTCACAAAAAAATTAATAAACATGTTTAAATATATTTACGTGTACATATAGTAGTTGTGAATAAATAAGTGGTATGTTTTGTAAGTAATCGGTAAATTTGTTCAAAATGAATAGAATAATTCATTTTTATAAACACTAAAATTGTCATGTATAAAAATTTTTCACATATTTTAAGTATGACAGAAATTGTCTAATACTAACAGTAATAAGTTGAATAAATACTATATTAATACAGTCTCTTGGTAGTTGGTATAAGTATAGGCATAAAATAAACTAATTATTAATACCTAATATTTAATAAATGGACGGATTTGAACTATAATATATGATTAATATCCTCAATTATTTATACAGATCAACAACTAAAATCAATAAATCGTTACTAAAATAAACGAGAGAAAAATCCAATCTGGTCGATTTGATGTATCAAAACAATAAAGAAATCCAGATATAAACATCGAAAATTGAATATCCAATAATTAAATATTGGTCAAATAGCCGACATTATAAAACAATGTTAATAATTTTTTCACAAAAATATTAGTAAACATAAACAAAAAAATAACACTAGACACCAGTGTTCAATGAAAATTATTTTTCAATAAATAATAATCATTACTTTTTATGTCGAAACAAATATTTTTAAAAATTAAGTTATTTTTAATGCTTATAATCTAAAAACAAAAATTGATAGGTGAAAATATATTTGATTATGATTTTATCACATATAAAAGATATATAATACTTAATGGTATTTTCATAATGAATGATTATCAATTAAATCAGTCAAAAAATTCAAATTTCAATTATCTTGATGATAGTTTATACTTTAAGGATACATAAATAAATATTTTTAATACTATATAAATACTAGTGATAAAACTAAAATTAGTCCAGTAAATATTATCACCCATATCGAGTACTTGTAGTATTAGTTTTGGTGAGCCGTATAAACAAAAAACCTACAAAAACATTAAAAAAAATGTTATATTTTTTTAAAGAAAAGAATTGTTTCATTTATTTATTTTTAGTTATTACTTCTTTGTATAATACGTCAAAGAAATTATTTTTATGATTATTATTTCTACAGATAGTTGAGAATTTAATTTAAATAATCATTTGATTTATATTTGTATAACTTTATATATTAAGCATACTATATTGAACATTACTGAAAACTAAAAAAAATGTTGCCTAGAAAGGATGAAAACTTGCGTACCTATAACATATTGACAGTAATACTGTAAAAAGTCGTACTTGACATTTATGAAATTTTTTACAGCACAGCAAAAAAACAGTTACTCAACGTACCTATTTCAAAATTATACTGCCATATTATGGTTCAAACTATCTTAAAAATTACCAATATAAAATAATTTTTGTTGTGGTTTTTCTACAATATAATATGTACTACCAATTAAATATACATTAATTTTTCTAACTGTAAAATAAAAAATGCAATAGCATTCGTGTTCACTTACAGTCGGGCACGGTAAGACAGGACGATCAAAACCATACACAGAATGCAATACTCCTTGAACGGCGTGTTTCATAAATGAAAAGTCGTAGAGCCACCTATATATTTCAGGAGTGTCAGATATTCTGATCATGCCTCCAGCATACGTAGTCCAAAACAGTAATATAACGGCAACAACAATAGAGTTGGTCTAAACATAATACTAGTATTGTTATCATCATCAATGCGTTTTTTTTTTTACTGTAACGTTGTTGTAACACTTACGACAAAATTTTGGAAAAAAGTACTGACGAGCATTCCAATTGCTTGCGACATCAATCCGGTCATGATGAACATAAGGAGAAACAAAGTCACTCTAAATAACACAAGTGGTTGACCTGACAGTAAGTAAATTAAGGCGCAAAACACCAAAGTACAGCAAATCTATAAAAACCACACATTTTTTATTCCTATCAAAATAATAAAGGTATTTTTTTCTACAAATATTACCTGTAAGGGTAAATCTACAAGTGTCACTGAAATATAATATGACTTCAACGAATACCAACGATTAAAATACTCTTTTTGCATGATTGAAAACTCCAAAGGAACTGAAATAAGTTTTTCTTTAATTATTTACAATATGGGTAAAATTACCTAGATTTAAAGACCACAAGACTACTTATAAAGCAAAAATTAAAATGTATGACTTGAATTACATAACTGCTATTTTACAACTTGGTTTACAAAGCTTAAAAAAATGGAATCTCTTTCGTGCATTATATTAAACATATATTTTAAACATTTTAACACAAGCTACTTTATACATATAAATTAAAGACGAAAAGTTTTTTCGAAAAATATTGATTTTTTATAGTAAAAGTATTATTGATTAACCATGTTTTTGTCAGTTTACACAATTCGCCTTTTTCCAGTTTGCAGTTTAAAAAATATGATTTTGAAAATAACGTGTTTAGAATTTATTTAGTTTATATTAGGTGGTGCACGGTGGGCCTTTTGTGTAACAATAAGTACCTTAATACTCCAAATTAAGATTTAAACTTAATGAGTACATTCTTCAATAGATCTAGTATTTATTAATTAGGAAAAAATTGTTTAACCTGATAAAACAGATTCCTTCCCCTAAGATACAATTTTTTAATTGTTCATTTATACTTTTTTTAGTTTTTTCACTAAAAATCTTCCCAAAAATGTCTCCCTAGGCAAATTATTCTATCACATTTTAATAATAGGTATTTTGCTATAATCAATAAGTCACGTAAGTCATACAATGTATTAAGAAGTCACTATACAATGCGTTTGTGACAATTGAAGCAAATTTTAGTGATGTGGTCTACAAAAAAAAAAAAAAAATGTTAGGTAGTCTATATAATATAACGTCTAATAATGCATAAAATACTGTTTAGTCTACACATATATAACTTTCTTTTGGATTTTTTCAGAAATGTGACTACTATGAAGAAATGTTTTAAACCTTGTATACACTAGAGAGCCGAACCTCAAATTCCAAATGTGTTATAGCTAAATGTTGAGTGACAAGTCACCTAATGTCAGAATTTTGACGACCATTGATGTAATGTTGCTGCCACAATTGACTGTAACATATTTATGTTGCAGTTCGGGGTTCGGCTTGCTGAAGACAAGGCATTTGGACCTAATTGCTTCATTTCTTTTGTTTATGGTACATGCATTTTTAAAATTTTAAAAATTTAAGCAAAATATGTAGATAATTAACAAAGTGGTATCGAAATGGCTAAATTTCTGACTTAATATTATAATTTTTTAATGAATTCTATCTATTGTACTTACACTTAACAGACATAGTAAACGCTGCTGTATAAACTGAAAACATTACACAAAAAAAAAGTAATACTGCATTATCCCGAACGTGCATTCCATTGTCTCCTAATCCGTAGTAAACAACCCCAAACATGCTGCCAAGTAATATGTGAACAAATAATCTGACATTTACTAGAAACTAAAAAAAAAAAAATTGAGAAATTGTTGTGTTTTTTTCCAGGATCAAAATAGCAAATGTAAAAATAGCAACGTAATAATAGCAAAAAATAAATATACGAAAAATGTTAACATAAATAAATAAATATTGGAATACACCATTTCTCTGTTTATCTTTTTATTCAAATCCTCTAAAAATTCTAGAATTATTACTTTTAAGTGTTTTAAAACTTAATTAACTTTTAAAATCAAATGACAACAAAACAGTTAAAATATTTATAAAATATAATGTATAAAAAACATAATCCGCTAAAAAAAATTTGACAAAACAAATTTCAATAAGCTTATCATTTGCTATTATTACTGGTTAGCAAAAATATTTTTCACTATTTTAGTTGTTAAATTTATTACTCACATTGTCTCTAAATGTGATGAGCATAGATCTACGCATGAGGATCCATATTTCGGGGAAAATATTTGTGGGATATTCTCTTTTATGAATGACGTACATATTATTGTTAATGTTACCTAAAACACGCAATTATTAAAATAATTTTTTAAAAATTATGCCTTATAAATCATTACAATAAAAAAAAAATCTGAAAATACTACCATATTTTTGTCTTTCATCATGATTTTTTTCAATAACATTTTTTGATAGTATATCGTTGTGGTTACCATATTCACCCATACTAAGTTCAAGCACTAAAATTAAAATTAAATATATATTTTTTTTTAACAGGATTATTTTTTTCTTTTACTAACCGTAATCAGCTGGGTTGTGGTACTTAGGGCACTGAAGTCCTAAAGTAAAAAAATAATTTACCATTTGCCTGGGTTCTCCATTATAAATGCATTGGCCATTTGGCGATAAAACATAGACAGTGTCAAAAATATCCAAATGATTTGCAGTAGCCTGATGAATTGAACAAACGATGGTTTTTCCAGAATCGGCCAATTTCCTTAATATTTTTAGTACATTGTTAGCAGAAACAATGTCTAACCCTCTAAAAAAATGTATGGTACATTTTTTTATTAGCATTAATCATACATGTAATATCAATTAATATTGTCTATTGTAGTTCACATTATAATAATTACGTAGTAGGTTCATCGAAAAACATCACTTTAGGGCTACGAATTAATTCTAATGCAATGGTTAATCTTTTCCGTTCTCCTCCTGAAAGTTTATAAACCAAGGTATTTCTTTGTTCATTTAGCAATAAACTATTCAACAGCTCGCTGATCTAAGCAACACATTTAAAAATTATTGAGGCTTTTTAAATTTTTTTTTTATTTAAGCAATTAAATTACGGTATCCTGTTTGTCCGTATCCAAGTTAATAATTGAATGTTTGAGTTTCATGGAGATTTCCATAGATTCTAAAACAGTTAAGTACAATTGCAAATGATCTTCTTGCATGATGTAACTCGAAATTTTTCTAAATGATGACAAATCTCTTTGCATTCCATTTAGAGTCACCGATCCTTTATAACTACTAGAACTGCAAAAATAAGATGGTTAATTATGTGAAATATGTTCAACGCTAGATCTGCACTCTCGCAATGCGTTAACAAAATTAAAACAGGACCAAGTGCTGACTAGGGTTAACACGTCAGGAATGTGGTGTTTCAATAAATAAAATACTCACTTAAAACCAGACAATATGTTCAATAGAGATGATTTTCCTGAACCCGAACACCCTATAATGGCACTCATTTGATTTTTGAAAAAAGTACCACTTACGGATCTCAGTATTGTTGTCTTTTCTTTAATAAAATTAAAAAAATAATTGTATGTGACGTATAATTAATTACTTGAACAACAAGTAATGTCGCCGATAAAAACAAATATTAAAAATACATACCTGGCATCCATTTCATTGTTACTAACGGATCCCACGTATTGACCGTTAACAATATATCAGCGAATTCTATGTCAAAACCTTCCATTTTTGAGCGGCGATATGAAGCCAAAAGGGTATTGTTTATTTTTCTTTGTCAATTTAATAAAATAAAATACTTTGAAAGGTAATGAGTTATAATTTGTTCAGTAAATCAAACTTTTACGACTAAAGATCTACAGTAAAAGAATCAAAAGCAATCACTATATGTTAAACGTTTGTTGGAATAAATTAGATATGTTACAAATTAAATAAATCCAGTTTAAACTATATACTATTTAGGTACATAAAACATTATGACTTACTCGGTAAGCCAATTATATAACACTTGTATTAATATAACCAGTATTGTGTCCACTACAGCACTAGACACTATTACGAATTAATGACCTGCGTAAGGTACTCAGCAACATGGTGTCCTTTTACTTCACATTATATACCTACCAAACATGTAAATTATAATTATTACTCTTACTTATATTAAAATAATTTTCTTCCACCAGCATAATCGTCCATTGCTGGTCCTGCTAAGAGCAAACCAGCAGCAGAGACCGGCGGAGACCTTGAAGAGTTTAAAATATAATAGCGCAATACTCATAAAGAAATAAGAAAAGACTTATGATCATTATCTTCTTATTATCATTTATATTTGCCACTATTATCACAGAATAGATATAAAGATGCTATTATCTTTCAAAAGTATCGTTCGCCGCTGATAAGTGATAACGGTAAAAAAAATGCAATATTATTATGTTCATTTTAATTGTCACAAACTGACTACACTCATTTTTATTAAAATCCTATAATTTTGAAGATGTATTGTATATCCCTTATGAGTTACATATACATTCACCCTTTCTGAGTAGAGATGCGTGGGAGATATCATTAACATTTTGGTTCAGAATAATGTACCTAAAGGCTAAAACACAAAAAATAAAATACTTGCTGAAGAAGTTATTATTAATATAATAAATTGAATTATTCAAAACCGAATAAAAATCGAAAACTTCGAATTTTTTAATTAACCTAATTGATTTTTATATTAAGTATAGGTTTTAAACAAATTTTGTTTGTAATATTTGTTTTATGTATACAATAGTTTATTTATATTGCATATTCCCAAGACTTAGAAATAATTTTGAATTTAATTTTGAAAGTCCCAACACGACAGATTTTGTAACCCAAAGTCTTTTTTAGTTAGAATAATATAAAAAAAGCTATCACAATGCGGTCGAGACATATCTAACGGGAACGAGAGGATTGGAAAAATCAAGTCTTAAGGAATTTCTAATTTTATTACAAAGTGATAAAATCCCTTTCAAATAAACGCTTTGATGCATATAGTAAAATATTTTATGGACACTAATTGTGTTTAGGTAAAACAAATAATTCGATTTTTTTTTTTATCTACGAGACTAAAATGCTGATGTTATTTCCAGTAAGGATATATTTGAGAGTAGGTATAATGATGATTTTTTTTTTTTTAATGTTTTTGGCGATGGGTATATAAACGATTAATAGCTTTTAAAAAACAATATAAAAAAATATGTCTTAATATTTTTACTTTGTTTAAAAAACTTATCTCCCGAGTTGTAACTAAGAAATAAAAACATAATTTATTAATAACTAGCAATAGCGTTTTCAAATCCCTGGGTCCGAGGTCACTATACAGTGTACACCTAGATAAGTCAATTAAAAAATGAGACATTATTAAAAATTAATTTAATTACATATAAAAATATTGCTGGGTCTGACGAGGATATTAAATTATGCGTGTCAAACTCGGAGAGCTTATATTGGACAAACATGCTTTTTATAGTACTTATAATAAATATAAAACAATGTCAAAATATTATACGTAAAAATAATTGTTCTTTGGATTTTACATGGATTGACCCTAAAAATGTTACATTTTATTAATACAAAAATGTAGATATGTTTTAAAAACAAAATGTTATTTTTACATAATATAGATACCAACTATATAGCTATACGTCATTGTCCTATAACTTAATTAATTATTAATCTAGTTAATAATTAGACCCTTAGTTTTAAAACACGTGCATATTACCTTCGTCTGATTTGTGATAGGATATGGATACCTACTACAATTACTTACAATAATAATAATTTCCATTATTATCACTATTATATAAGAATAAATTACAAACTATAATATTTAAATGCGTTTACGTTTATTTTATGTTATAAGTAAAAAACCTATCAACATAAACTTATAATATCAGTACGAAGTACCTAATTAATAATAATTAATAAAAACTGAACAAAGAGTATATAATTACCATAATATATTAGAACACGCTGTGCGAAAAAAACTGCTTATTAATGCGACAACGTCACCAATAAATTGATAATTGAATTTTGATGACGACTGTATATATATATATATATATATATGTTTGTGTAACTAATAAAACACATACAATAAAGTGATCAACTACGCATGTCCTTCGTGGATAACAGTTAGTGATTGTATATAAATATATGACTAATATTTTGTTGGTATATATTTTCACGCAATAATAGTACATTTTAATACACTGAATTATGTTCACTGTTCAGTACAACAAAATATAACAATAAATAATAATAATGATATCTGTGTTGACAAATCAAAAATGAACAAAAAATTCATAAATTTTTACAATTACATTGTTAATGTAGGTAATTAAAATATAAAATAATAACAATTAAAACTTCTGTTTTAATGCCTAGACAAAATAACTTTATACTGAATTCCTAGTGACAACAAACGACATTTTTAAATTTATACATTTATTATAAAAGCAAATGCATAGCACTTTTAAACCTTGATTTACAAATTAAAAATATTCAATTAAAATATAAAGTATCATTGGTAAAATATTTACTGAACATTTTTTTGTAAAACTATATTTGACTAAAATCTTAGGTGTTAACATCATATGATTACATTCTACTTGAAAATATCTAGTATTTTCAAAATCGTTTGATAATTTATTAGAATTTTTTATGAAAATAATATTTTTAATTTATTTTAAATAATACTCGTATGAAGTGTCTGTAAAATTTAGATGTATTTTATATTTTGGTTGGGGGAAAAAATGTTCCAGGATGCTTGATTAAATCTTTTTAAGTATTGCTATTTTGTGAGGAGGCCACACCTCATATTTATTGGGAAATAAATTAAAAACAATTGTTTGCAAAATCTCAACTTATATGTCTAAACTTTAGTGCGTATATTTTTTTTTTGTATGCAGACTATCAGAGTTACTTCTTTAAGAGAAGTCATAACTCATAAGTGTTCCAAGATTGTGCAATCATGTGTAGATTTACAATAATAAAATACGATTATTTTAAATAATCGAAGTTATAAAGATGATAAGTATAATAACTATGCTTTGTTAGAAACCGATTGTGGAACGTAATTAGGAACACGGATAGCGAGGACTAAAAAAAGAGTACAATACTGTATTCTTGTTTCAAACATTTTTTTTTCTCATTGGAGATACTTATGTGAATATTCTACGTCGCAAAACATCACTGATGCCTGATGTCCTTTACAATGGGCAATGAGCTATTTATTCAAGTCATCATTGTTATAGTCATTACGTCATAGGACTTAATATGCTAACTGACAACAGTTGTAGTTGTATTTTAACTTAACTAGGTGTACAATAATAAGTAACAAGTATAGATGTATAGAAAATTCCTAAAAAGGGATTTATTGTTAGAATAGTTCTGAAGTTAGAATTCCTGTAATTATATGTAAGTTACTTAAGAAATAGCCGATATGCATTTAAAATTTGTACAACCGAATCCTAGCACGGACATGCCTTAAGAAACATGCTATGGATGATACTTATGCGACGTCGCAAATGAAACATCACAAACCTTGGCATAAAGCTTCTCTTTTATATTGCTCTGGTTTAAATAGGCTAAAAAATCAACCTCTCACGTCCCAATGTGACATTTATATGATAAGTCAAATGTACTCATTTATTAATTTATGCACATCGGGATAACGAAATGCAATGTTATAAATCGTAAAGTTTAAAATAAAATAGGATTTGTACCTATAGGATTTGTTACCAGAATGAAATTGTTTAATGGTTGCACGGCTCAGGTGTACCATCATTGGTCAACATAGTTCTTAGATCATTATTGTATATGATGTAAATGTTATAATATGCAGTAAGTATACATTGGTACTGCAAATAGAACTATAAAATTAAGTACAAAATTAGAAGGTTAACTCGTATTAACTCTTATTATTATTTATTATTATTACTACTTACTTAGCACAAATAGCGTCGGTCAGTCAAATCCGCTTTCTCCTTCTCTTTTATCAATTTTCCCAAACCATCTCAGACTTCTCTCTTTTTCATGCTCTGAAACGTGTCTGGATCCACGATAGGTATCTTTTAAACCTTTGAATCGATTTCTTCTTTTAGTAACTACTTATCAGAAATCGTACCTAAAATGTACTAAATTGGTAAACAATTTGAAAAGTCTATCTCTTCCCCTTTAAAATCGAGTAACAATTTACATATTTTTAACTTAAAATTACGGTGCACTATAACATTTTTAAAAATAGTCGCATTAATTCTTAATTTGTATGGAATCATATTCAGATAAAGTACTATCAGTATACTTAAAAAATACAAAATATATCAAAAACCCTTGTCTAGAAGAGGTAGAAACTTTTTCTTTATTTCTCTTTTTCAAGCAAAGTTTCAGGACTTAATGTCTGAAAATTAAACTGAAAATGTGTCTACTATGGGTCTACAATTTTAAGGAAATTTGTAACAATGTTTGTATATCTAAAGATACCCATCGAAGTGTTAATTTGAAAGCATTTTTAGCACTTTCAGTTATAATAATTTCTGATTACTTAAGTCTATGTGACTTCTAGGTCCAGGTCCAGGTTTACTAGTCTTTTTTACAATATGTATTAAACTACCTTAGTATCTTGATATTATCATACAAAATATAATATATTTTTATGGGTATATAATAATATTTATATATTATATTTATTTAATCATAACATTTTAAAAAAGTTTCCTAGGAGGAGAGGCTTCTCCTCTAGTTGTCAAATGATTAATTTAAAATATAATTTTTCTAATATAGGCTACTCTTAACCACGGATCAATGCAAAGCTTGAAGACGGTATTAACCCTACCAGATGTAGGTCCTGTAATATAACCAATCGTAAACTAAATTATCTATCTTATATCAAGGACATTATACACCCATTTTTCTAAGTATTAAAAATATAGCTTCGCAGAATACGGTTTACTCGTTTGCGGTGATTTTAAAGCTAAGCTATTTATAACAAAAACAAAAGATGACAAGAATTGGGAGACAATGACTTAGGTATCTTTTTTTTTTTTTGATAAACCTTATATTTAACAGTTTAACCTTTAAATTAATATTTTGCAAAAAATTGCCTATACTTAGCACTTAAATAAATAAGGCTTATAAACGTTATCTTAAGTCACATATTTAATAAATTTAAAAAAATTCCAACAGACTGGTGGTCCCTAAAATTTTAAATGAGAGATAAAAGATAAGTGTACTACATTTCACAAAAATAATATTGATTAATCTTTTAATAAGTCAATATTTGTCGTACAGAAAAAGATTATGTATACAAATAAACGTGTTGCAATGTGTATAAAAGAGTAAACTATAGTTCATATTGGATAGACAATAAGAATAATAATCCCTATTCATTTCACGAGTCATTCATTTATTAGTTACCATAGGACAATTTTACTAAGCATTGTTAGACAATTTTCTTATAAGCATATTATAAATCCGATTATTATTTTTTATCTATATGACCCAGTATTTTTATTTAGTCAAATTTGGTGGAACACGTAGACGTGGACAAGTAGGTTAAAGCTCAATGGTCAAATAAATTACATTACATTTGTGTATCGTGAGACCCAGTTCAGCAATAAATAAAAGTGATTTTTTTATTTTCCTAACTTGCCCATTGTCTCATTACCTAAATTAAAAAATATTTATGCAAGAGATAAAGTTGCCTTTATCTAATTTAACAGAAGTATCTAATTAATAGTAATTTATTTTATTAAAAATCATCAATTTAATGACTTTTTATTAAACAAAAAACAAATGTAATCATAAAAAAGTTTAAAAGACAAATAATTGAACAAACATATTACATTGAACATAATATGTGATGTGGGTAGCGAAAAGAGACCTCTTGTCGGCAAAATTGAATTTGAGAAAAACACCAAAACATCAATTAAGCTTAAGGTGTAATAACTGAATTAATTTTTTTAGCTACAAAAATGTATCAGGTCTCAAATTGATGAAAATAGCACTAACTCAATTTTGGAAAATGCTGAAAAAAGGTCCATTTATTGTTATTCACATCACATATGATTTTATCACATAACACTTGTACATATTAAATGGCTAATGTTATATATAATTTTTAAAAAAAGTGTCGAAAAAGAAAAATGTCTGTGGAATTAACAAGCACTGGGTTTTGATTCCTAAAAAAAATAAGTCAAACATTAATAAATAAAATGAATATAAATTAATAAATTGCAATTATGCATCATGGTCGAATAAAAAAAAAAAAAGGTTTAATGGCAATGAGTATTTTACATAAATTACATTACAGTTAACAATTTTTTCTGATATCTTTATTAATATGCCATCTTTAGGATTTGTAAACTAGAAATTGACAAAAAGCAAAAAAAAATGTTTTATATGTCACATCCACATAAATTTAACGTACATTTACGAAATAAGGCAATAATTTCTTGAACTTTGATAAATTTCACCCTGATCTAAGGTCTAAAAATAACAAATAATTTCTATGATGTAGGGATTTTTTTAGAATTTCTAATTTATACTATTTTAAGTATTCTACACTTAATTGTACAATATTGGATAAAAATAAAACCATTAATTATTGTTACCTCAAGAGTTTATAAAAGTGATGGATTTTTTTTTAATTCAACTTTTTTTATTTAAAACTATGTGACATCTAATAAAAATTAAAAATAAAGGGGGAGAGAATGTTTTTTAATTAATGTATGAAAATATTATTAATAAAGATATTTTAGTAAGTATTTTATTTCAAGATTTAATTATTGTTTTTACAATGTAATAATTGAAGCTGTTTAAATGTAATTTAACAATTTTTTATTGTAATTTTCAATGCATAAGTAAGAAAAAAAAATACGCCTTGTCAATGGTTGGTTTCAATATATTTTTTTTGTCTGGTAAAGAAAGACTTCCTACAATCTGCATAGACTTTCAATTATTTTATTAAGCTCCCAACAACGATAAATTTTTTTTAATACTTTAACTGCAAAAAAAATTAACAAAATATTAGTTATCATAAACCAATTATTCTATAATGGCATCATATGTTGTATAAAGTAATTTTTCACTACTGAACTATGATAAAACATATGAAAAAATTATACCATAAAGTTAAATATTAACTAATATCATTATTTAGAGCTGCATTTATTCTCATGTTTACACGCCTTTTAAGACCTGATGATAACAATTAAGAGTTAATATTGACAATTAGCTAGTAGCTACAATACAAGTTATATAAAATACTCATAGCAAGTCATGGTTTAATAGAGAATACTTACGGCCGGAAAGTAACTACAGGCTACGCCCCAAAAATCTTTTAAAACGGAAGCTTGTCGAGGTCGTTCCTTTAATAAAAATATGTTATTAGTCAAAACAAATGCATTCAAAATTGAAAAGAGACAATATATATTAAAAATATACCAAAAATAACTAACACCATTTATTAAAATAGTAGGAATAAAAGAAACTTCAGGCCACAATTTGTTTGTCGCATCTCCGTTTGATTTTAATAATTGTTCACCTTCTTTTCCTTCTGAACAACTGTATATTTTGTTCCAATTGACGTTGAGACTATTTGCACACTGTAAGTTAGAATAAAGTTATATAATATTATAATTAACATTATGGTCTAAAAATGTTCAGCAAGTTAAAATATTACTGAAACAGTACTTACGAAAATGCCAATTCTTTCAGGTTCATAGTTATCATTGATCATACACGCCAGATATTTAATTAACACAGTTCTATCTTTTATATATTGAATGGCACATGAATGGATTTTATTGCCATGGCATTCTACTGGTCCGTGTTGACAAGCAAAGGTTAATGAACCGTCTGAGTTTTGATCTGTCTAATTACAACCATAACACATTAGTAATAGCCAAAGTTATAGTTCTTCATCACAATATATTACTGGAATTTAACTGCTGATACATAAATAGTCTTTTCTTTGGCTTACCTTTGCTTTGCCATATGGAATAAAATCAATTTTGAAGCGATCGGGGGCTTTGTTGAAGGATGGAACTAAATGCTGATGAATAAAATTTCTTGAATCAGGACATAATGTCTCATAATACACACTTACTGTTAGATACGATTTATCATTACTATTGATTACATAACTATCAATATTTTGAGGAAGCGTTGAATAAATGTTAGTCTGAAATTAAAATGATAAATCATTATATTTTAAATAAAAATATTATTGTGTTTGTATTAGTCAGTCTTTTCCTAAGAATGCCTAATGTATACAAATTACTGTCAGATATTAGTCAATTACCTGATTTGAGTTATCAAACAAAAATGTTACTATTTTGGTTAGCTGCCAAATGCAAAATAGGAAGACTAGAATAAAACAAAAACGGAATGTCGACGTCGAAAAAATACTTCTTATTTTCAAATGCATAATGTCACAGCCAAAACGAATTTGTATTTTCTATGATCGCAATGGCCACTTCGATGTTCGTCAGCTTAGATAGTAGTCTTACTTATTGCCATAATATAAGACAACATACTATAATAATTTTTCTATAATCGATTGCCGCGAATGAGTATCTATCTCGAGTGTTATAAACGTTATTACGGATGACTTATTATATTTTGTTCATTAAAAGTTGATTAATTTAATTATTAATAAACAATTACACAATATGTTGAATGTTAATAGCAAAACGTGATAACATCAAAAAAAGTAACTCTAAGCATAAATTATAATTTATTGATCAGTCTCAACTATAATAATCATCGATGGAAGTATGGAATGTGATGTGGGTCAGGAATAAGATCAAATATGTTTTGAAATTACTTAAACAAAAACGGTTTTTTTTTTGTTTCATTTAATTTAAAAGTAGGTATACTACTAACTACTTGTATTATTTAGAAGCTCTTGATACTAAAATTCTTACGATAAGGTGCACCAATCACCATGTAATAAAAAAACTGGGCATTCGGTCATCCGTCATAGGTTCCCGAATGATAACAAGCTCCCACTTTGGTTATGACGGTCCTGCTCTACCCCGCTATGGTCCTTTTTTTTTTACTAGGTTATTTAATTTTTATTTAATTTGAGCACGATGTAGAGAAGATGATTTTCTCTACATCGTGAATTGAAGAATAATACTATAGATGGCTTGGAAACCTATGCACGGTTATAGATAAACAGGTTACGCATCGCAGCCAACAATCGCAGTCACGCCGTGTTACGCTGTCTATAGAGCGCAAGCCATCAAAAGTTATATTTCCTATCTAACGTGTACTAAAAAGCTGTTTTTAAACCAATAAACAACAGATAGTATTATACAAGTCTACAAGAACAATATAATACATGAATTTGATGTATTTTTTTTGTCCTTAAAACGATGGTGTAGTCATTATACTGCTGTTACGCATAGTTTTTTCATTATAACGGTTAAGACAATACCGATTAAAAAAAATGTAAGTGGCTAAAACCATGGCAATAAATACCATATTATTCATAAACCTTTCATAATATATTAGTTTTTTTTTAAATTAATTTTTGTAAACATCCCATCTGAAAAAAGAATTCGGATTAATTAAAATAAAATGTATTTCATAAAATTACACGTAATGCCATGCCTCATTCTCATTACAATATAGTCGGTTACAATTCGAATTATGATTTCATTTTTGTGGTCTTCACTTGGAAAGGACAGATACTAAGAACACAATATTAAGTGTTAACTATATATAACTAATATTTAGAAATATAATAATGTTGAAAAACATTTAACTAGATAGTTTATTAATAATCGTAATTATAAAAAAAAACAAAGTTTACTTGCAATTATAAAAAAATGTATTGGTTACCAAAAGCTGTAAAGGGGTTAACCTGAGTATTTATACTATTATATCATATATTTTATTTTTCCATTTTATAAATATTATAATCATAATATCGTTTTTAGGACAAAAAAATTCATGTATTACATTGTTCTTATAGCCTTGTATAATACTGTTTTTGAATAATGTGGTATTTATTACCACGGTTTTAGCCATTTACATATATTTTTTATCGGTATTTTCTTAACCGTTATAATGAAATAACTATGCGTAACAGCAGTATTATGACTCCATCGTTTTAAGGACAAAAAAAATACATCAAATTCATGTATTATATTGTTCTTGTAGACTTGTATAATACTATCTTTATTGGTTTAAAAAACAGCTTTTTAGTACACGTTAGATAGGAAATATAACTTTTGATAGCCTGCATCCTGGTGGCGCGCTCTATAGACAGCGTAACGCGGCGTGACCGCTATAAGCCAGTCGAAAACATACACCGTGGAGTAACCTGTTTCTCTATAACCGTGAACCTATGACAGCTTGCCTAAAAAGTAAAAACTTCAGTATGCTTACAATCTGCAATGTGCAGTGTAGGCTTATCAAATTTCAAAAGTCGAAAAATGATAGCAGTCATTCTACGCATGGAAGAAAAAATGTTCGTCGCCAAGCTTTGGTACCTAGACTAAACCACAGAATAAACTAAATTAGTCTATTCTATGACTAAACGCTAATCGTTAAAATAAATTACAGAACTATATATAATTATTTTAAACCTGTTTATCTGTTTTTTGTAGTGAAAACTGGAAAGTAGAAAGTATTAATTGATTATCGAGTATCGACGATCGCAGGCAGTAGTGTAAGAAACAGTATTCTAGAAGTTGTACAAATTATTGTAAACTAAACAGACCATTTATCCTATCAAGTGTTTATGTTCAATTTAAAAAAGTTTGTACTTTCATTTGAATACTATAGTAAATGATTGGAAAAAATCTATACAATTCGGATTTTGAACTTCGAAATTCAATGAACAAAATCCGGATTTAATGACAAATCCGTATTTCAAAGTTTGATCTACAGAAACTGTATTCTGACTTTAAATAAAAATCCGAATTACCGGTTTAAACTTAATAAAGCTAATTTGTAATTACTAATTCAGCAGTGCTTACAAGATGACCAAATTGTTTAATATTAATAAGAAGTTATTATTGAACCTTAAGTAACTGTCAACGGTCAGTGATCAAAAAAAAAAATATATTTAACTGCTTTACTCCAGTTTTATGAACTTTGAAAAATCCGGATATTCCCATAAAGACATTCATCAGTGTGCTACTTGGAAAAAAAGCCCAGAGGTTCCTCCAGGGACCTATTACTCTATACGCTGTACACAATACCGGCCTCTTACCGTATGCACTAAAATGGTTTAATTTATTTAAAAAATAATTATTTTATTTATCTAAAATTTTAGTTTAATCGTTTTTTTTCTTTAAAGGGATTAAAAATAGGCTGTTTTTTTGACGTCTTGGACCTAACAGCCTGACAAAATTTCTACTATTTAGGATGATTCTATTTAAATTCTGTAAAAATATACCTACGAGTTTTTTGGCTACTTTAATATTTTTTATTATTTTTTTTTTTTATAGGTTACATAGGAAATGGATTTCTGATTTTTGAGCCGGCAGGCGTAGGGAGTTGCTTTATTTAATTATGAGTTTTTTTAATTAAAACTTAATTGACCTGTATAACCTGTAATTTAAAAACTAATGGTTACTTATACTAAATACAGAAAAAAAAGAGATACGGCGGGCGGGAGGCAAGTAGACGAATGGGCTGCTCGTAATTAGTATAACGAACGCCCGCTATGTCGAGAGCGGCGATCGTCGAATAATGTACTTGGCGGCCGCGAGTAGACGTGCGGCGCTGGGCGCGCGCGTATGTCGATATCGGCGATCTTTAAACATCTGTAACTTCAAAACTAAGCGTTTCCGCAAATTGTTTTTTGTACCATCGTTTTCAGAATTAAAAAACGAATCGATTGAAAAAAAAACGAAATTCGGGCGTGGGGTGGTAAAGTGCATTTGTTCCATTTTAAGTATTAATTTGAAATGTTTTAAATTTCATTATTTAATTACAAAAAAACTGGATTTTTTTTATGAAAATGGGCATTTTACAAAACCTAGTTACAGGTAAAGAACTCGAATCTTTTTTAATAAATTAATGTCGAAATTTATTAAAACGCATTGCTTTTAAATATTGCCTATATAAAGCTTCTTAAAACCCGTCCGCTTTTAATTCCTTTAAAGTGAAATTCCTTAAATATAAAAATATAATTTAAATGATTTTTCATTTGATTTTCCCGAATAAAGGCGAACAACTATAGTCAATACAAGTAACAAGTTACAATATATTATAAAATACATAATTTATACATTCATTTATAATCTGTCATATTAAAAAATACAGACACAGCCTCTTGGTAAAATTAATTAGTTCAATACATTTTAAATGTTCAAAAAGTATCAGCAAATCCTTATACAAATTATGGCAAATCCATTTACTTCATTTTTCATATATTTTAAAGTAAAAATATTATACTATTGTCTAATCCTGCGAGTTTGTTTTATATATCTCTTAACCGCTATTATAGCAAACAGAACACCCATTATCGTGAATAGTACAGCTATAGTTAGTATCTAAAACAAATATATACAGAAATTCATAATTAAAAAAAATAGTTTTATATTGGTGCATTAAAACGATATTACATACCTGGTGTCTTGTACCAATGGCAATTATTATACCTTGAATAAAAAGTAGAGTGAATATTGAGATCACAAGTAATGAAACGAACATATTAAATCCAAAAATTAATCCGTAACTATCAGGATTTATATACTTGGCCACTTCGGATCTACAACCGATAATAGAAATTTTAATTGATTACTTTTATATAAATAATAGTATTGTAATACAATCTAGGGATTAAAATACTATTTGGTAAACGTATTACAGTTAATAGAAAAATAACAAAAATTAATATACACATCAAATTTAGTTCCTTGCATTGGATGAGTGCTTTAGTCTACAAGAAGACGCATTTCTTTTAGGAGGAAACGGATAAGTATATCTTGATAGCAAAAGAATCGAGCGTGTAAGAATGACTTGGAGGAAACATAATAATACATACGAGTAAATGGTGGTTTAGTAACAGCGCAGGTTTAAAGTTCATTAGTTTTAAGTTAATTTAATACCTAGGATAGACCCGATGTCGAATGATTGACTACAGGTAAAAAATCATCATATACTTTTGAGATAGACGTTCTGCAAGTAGTTAAGTACTTAATAGTTTAATACACCTCGAGCCTTAGTAGCTTTAATTTTTCACTAGCCTTAATATTAAATAACTAAATAATTTAAAATAAATACATTTAATTAATGACTACATACGCAGTAATAGTCGACATAATTTGATAACTGGCGCCGAACAAAACGTAAAAAGTATACAAAATCCATAACGAATGACTGAAATATATGGTATACAAGAAAAATGCCAGTACTGCAGACCCTATGGCAAATATGATATCACCTTGCGTTTTCCAGTCATAATTGATGTAGCCAACCGCGTAGGCTCCAGCTGCACCTATATAGAATATGGGTATATATATATACATATAAATATAAGATGTCGAATGAAATCGGAAAGGATAATTGAGAAATTTTTACCGCATATGGTATGCACAGATTCTACGGCTCCATTCATGAGATCTTTTTCACTATTATTTTCCTTGGCGACATCTTCCCATAGCACTTGAATATACGTTGCAACCTACAAAATCACACATTATTAAAATAACACTTAACGCAAAATTGTATAATGTATATTTATTACTCACAATTATGTAACCCGTAATGGCCGCTATCCACCAGAAACACTTTTTCGCAACGTAACTATTACTATATGCAGATTTAAAATCGTTTAACAACATCAGTCTGACTTGGTTGAATGTAGCGGGTTTTTGTTTCTTGTTCTATAATAATTACGTCAAAGATTATCTGTTCAGAGAAAGAGAAGCGTCTCGAGAATGCATATAACAATAATAGAGAATATTTTTATAGGAACCGCGGAGCGAAAACAAGAGTTATGAGTAGATGTGGAAGATTTCTCAAAGAGAGCAGAAGCTAACTAAGGCCTAAGAGTCAATATCATAATTATTTACCTTATTCATAGATAAACTTAAAAAGGATATACAGTCAACTTGTGTACAGAAGGTTAATTAAAGCAACGGAAGGAGATATTAGAGGAAAACGAATAGTAGGATTTTTTTTTTAAATAGCGTTTATTTGAAAAAATTACAATCTATACAAAAAAAAAAAAAATAATGCATTAAGTAGGGTAATAATAAATTATTTAAAGTTTAATTTTTCGTAATGAGAAAGTGGGAAATCAGCTGCTATGTTGGGAGAGCAAGCGGTAATAGCGAGAAGAAAAGTTCAAGTATTTTGGATCAAAAATGATTGAAGTGTGGTATTATATTTACATTTTACACATTTTGCGGTTACTCTCACATTAATAGAATGATTGGTCTGTCAAAGTTTCGGAATACTTGCATTATCAGAGCTGGGTTAATGTTTGGTCGTACCGTGGTTTCCCGTAGACTTAGCGACCCGCTTCCGCAGGTGTAGGTTATGTACCGTACCCCAGCTGTACTCCATCTCCTCCTGTCACTGCCAGCCTTTTTCTTTGGGAACGCTTCTTCGCCTTAGCCGTTTGGTTGATTTTTATTTCCGTTATTAATAGTTTCTTGTTGTACTTTGTTGTACCGGCTCTCCCTGTTTCATTTGGTCTCCGGTTTCCATTGGTCCATTGGTTTTTTTTTAATCGTATATCGTATTGACCGAACTATAGGCCCTATTAGGTCACCGAGTGGGCGCAGGGCATTTATGCCATGCATAGCCCCCTCCCCCGATGGCAGTCTCATCTCATAGCCAGGTTGCCCCACCGCCTTAATCTATTCGGTCCCTCCATTGGTCCTCTTTTTAATTGATGGATTAACTGGTTTTTATGTTTAGCTCAATTTCCATCCATCTTCCTGACAGAAGTTTGATGTGCATTTTTCAATTTTTATGGCTTCTCAAAAAGAAAAAGAATGCCTACGCCTATGGAAGCGGATCGCTCAGTCTATAGGAAAACACGCAATATCGAACCATAGATGGTTGAAGATGAAATGTGCAATAGTATTCCGATACATTGACAGACCAGTCAATCTATTCAAATTAAATTGGGAGTAACCGGAAGATGTGTATACAGTGTATTTTGGAGTAGATTTTTTGAGTAGAATAATATGTTTTGACGAGAAAGATAAGGCAACAGGACTGTTATTTGATAGATATGTATTTGAAAGTTAGCGGGACATTTTTTTTATTAACTCATCTCAAGTTGATAAAAAGCTGAAATGGTGATGGACAGAGAAATGCGGAAAGAAAATATTTGGATGGCTTATGCTTGTTAAGTGACCAGGGTAAATTATTTTTATTCAAATCAACTTACAAGTGGATCATTGACGTTCGCAGTGACTTCGTTGGTTTGAGCTTTAAGCTCACTGTTTCTTGCTGATGTGCTGTCAGTTTTATGGAAGTATACGCTATGTTCGACTTTAGGTAAAAAACACGCCCATATAGTCACGAATGATGTGCCTATTTAATAAAAATAGTAATAATTTTGTAGCAAAACACTTGTGATCGGTGAAAATTTGCAAATTGTGTTTTAATGACTATTATACTTTTTGAAGATTAATGAACAAGTATAATAATGAAAAAGATTTACTATTAACCTACATTGTATGTTAGTTCAACTCAACGTCGTTTTCAAGTTAAATGTTGATAAATTGGAATAAACGGTTATGATGAATATACAAATATTAAGAGGACGTCATACCCCCATTTATTAAGAAACCTAGCGGTATGGGCAATTTTTTTTCAAAACTAAATTTAAAGAGTAAACTGTGATGTGTAATTGTTAGCTTAGATTTGGGACTCTTTTTTAGTACTTTTTTATTTTTCGGACTATCAAAGCAACCTTGATAGCGAATTAATTAACTACGAATATTTTCTATTATTGGCTAAATAATAATCGTAAACATTTTTTTTACATATTTAAAATAATGAGAACGGTATCCAAGTTCTCTCATCGGCTTTTTTTGTACCTATTTTAACCCAACATTCACTATTTATATTTTAATTCTGATTTTTGTAAACTTTTTTAAGTGCTTGTATTTAAGGTAAAATTTATACTTTCTAAAAAACCCGACGAAAGAACCTTGATAAAGTTTTCCTCTATTATACGGTTACAACATTTTTTGTTTAAGACATATTTTCGCTTTGACCTATACCGTACACGCTTTTCCATGAAATCGTTCTAACGATTACTTTTAAAGGGTATGACGTTCTCTTAAACTGTCTGATATTGTTTTCGTTAAATCTAAAATAGGTGCCTATCTAAAAATTGCTATACAAATTATGTTAGAAAATCTATATATATATTAACTGGAAAAGCTATGACATATCAAAAGACAATTTGTTTTATTTAGCTCCATGGCTTAATCTCATTTGAGTCTTAGTAGGGCTTTATACATTTTTTTACAATTTATCTATTGACAAATTATACTAAATTGTATTTTCTATTATAAAATTAAATATCGATGACTCGATAAACATTTTCTAGAATTGCACCTCAAAGCTAATAAAAAAGTAGTGTACCCTATTGTAAGGGACAATTTTCTGTATAATTCAGAAGTTCTGTACGCAATAGTCTCGCACTGTCCCAGAACTTCTATTTATACTAATAGATTAACTACTACAGACTATTATTAGTTATTTCAAATTAATTTATTGCAATTATTGTAATAACATTGTAATGTTAATTGCAAATTCAAGCCAGTAAAACTATTTATAAGCCACCGGAAAAAAACCTGCTGGTAGTGTTTTAAATTTAAAAAATTAATAGCTATGTTATTTAACTTTATAGTTCATTGATCTCCTACTTGAACTATAGAAATGTAGGTATGTATAATAATTGTGTAAATTGTAATTAAAAACTTTTCAAGTGCACATACAAAAAATACTGATGAACAATAGATGACTGTAGTCGAGTACGTGTGTTGAAACAATTGTTTGTGAAATTAGCCCCGACAAAAATCTGCCAAACAGCGTGGACGCTTTCACTATGCTAGTGACTTTTTGATAGTACTGTTTGTCGTCGACCTTGGCATACAAATACGTTGTAAACGCAATTTCAGACGAATAAAAGAATCCAAAGAACATTTGTTCCACCTGTGACCATACTTAAAATATATTATAATACATATATAATATAATTATATACATAAAATGCTTTTTTTTGTAAAATTGTATTATTAAAATGTTAATTAACTAATTGAATAATATAAATGACAATATACAAGTTTGTCGGCTTCTTACTTTCACTCTGTTCAAACTAGGAGTCCCCACCAGTAACGCATATGTGAATATCCCGGCTACACCGTCAGCGACGATTAAAGGTTTGTATCTAAAATAGTCAGTCACCATAAACATAACAACCGCCAGTACTAAGCAAGAATAAGTGCCTATTGCATATATCTGCTCGTTGATCTGCAAATTAAATTCGTACAAGTAGTTTAATAGTGTATACCGTATAGTATGTACTGTAAAATAATAAATATAATTGAAATTATATTATTTTTCTGATTTTTATTGATATTCGGACGTATCCTATTTTAAAGTTGAATAATATATTATGTCAATTTTAGTTTGTTCACTTCGATTTTATAAGGATATGAGTGAACTTTTTCCATCATAAAAGTTCGTTGGTAAGAGATTTGTGGTCTATAGGTTTGCTATAAAAGTTATCGCGGGACAAGCCAAAAAACAATAAATAAACCATTGTAAAACCAATATCTTTTCAGCTTCGCCTCGAAGGAGAAAATCGAGCTTGTCTAATGGATTTGGGTGTTGTTAAAAGTAGAACCCCTGTATTTGAATTGTTATATCATATTAAATACTTTCTTCAGTCAAAAAAACTTGTTCCTTTAGTTTCCTAAACTATTCATTTATAATTAGGCTAAGATAACAAGGTATACACTTGCATTTTGTTAACATCAATTGAACAAAAATGAAGTCTTGCAATTTATGTGCTAGAGTGTATTATTTTAAGGCATGGGTTTTTTAAATATTTCATTATTTTTTCTTTACTATATTTATTATAACCATAAAGGTGCGATTCCTATGCCCGCGGCTGTAGCCGCGCGGCTGCTCGGCGCGACTCTAATTTCAGCCGCGCCGGACTGCTTAACATGTTATTAAGTATGACCGATTCCTCTGACGATCGCACAAGACCGCGGCTGTCGCGGCCGCGACGTGGCTCTAACCTCTTTACGAACGTGATAAATTAATAAATCCATCTGTTAATTGTTTATAAACAATTAATTAGAAAAATATTTAATTTAATATTAATTGAAATACTATATTATCATACCGCCGCCCCGGTAGTACAATGACAACTGCAAAATTTGGTAAAATGGACTAAATGCTTCAATGTGTTTGGATATAGTGAACAAAAAAATATAGACCTATTAGTGGACTTATATTGTAATAATTGCCCAAGCCCCAATTTCATAATTAATTGTGCATTCATGAATTATTAACATTTTAGTAAAAATAATTTGGTTTTTTGATTCTCCTGTAAAATTTCAATTATTGCAGTTGTGTCATTGTTCTATCGGGGCGGCGATATAACTATTTATGTAATATAAATATGGCTGATTTAGAGTCCTCATATAGGAATGAAGGACATCTAATTTGAAACCCACAAAATATATTAAATAACGACCAACAACAAAACGAGAACTACTTTTAATTACACTACCAGCTATGATTATAGTAAGAGTTTTCAAATTTACCTTAACGTTACCACCAATTTTTTAGTTGGGGATATTGGTTTCTTAATTTTATTTGTTGCATTACAAGTTATATTGGTTTCTATTGAAGGGGCCCCTAAACCTGCGTATTTTTGGTCGAAAACAACAATTCAACAATTTTAGTTCAAGCGTACTGTTCCTAAGAATACTTCGATTTAAGTTTTGAAAAAATATTTGAGTTCTTCATTATTGAAATAATTAAATAACTGAAAATCATTTTAAAACTGTGCAACATTTTAAATCATTTTAAAAAATGTTTTTTTAAAAACTTAAATCGATGTATTCTTAAGGACAGTACGTTTGAAGTAGAAACATGTGGTTTGTAAAAAAATAGATCCTATATGCGTTTTAAAAGTTGAAAAAAAAATTATCAAAATAGATACTTCTCTCATACGATAATATGCATGTTTAAAAATTTTAGCTTAAGTTTTATCGAAAAGTTTCCTATACAATGCGCCTTAATAAATTGCTAGCGAAGAGGCCCCTTAAGTTTAACACATAGTTAAACTCTCGAAACTTCATTTGGTTTTTCCATAAGTGTATAATAAAAAATCCCTCATTTTTCCTGGCTTGGAACATATTGTGTTTTTTTTTTAAATTGTTTACATAAATGATGTAGAACAGCTTGCTCCTCGTCAATTTCTGTAAAAATATTATAGATAGTAACATTTTATGGTGGCGCGACACCGAAATTTAATAAATATACACTATTAAATTTAATTATCACACTACGACTTCAAAGTGAATACTGTCGGATCGCTCATCCATAGGAATTCGTTCTAGGCCGCGCGGCTGAAAAAAACGATTGCGCCGCGGCGCGGCTGTAGTCGCGCGGGCATAGGAATCGCACCTTAAGTGTTCCTTAAGTTTTTCCTTGACCTTGTAATTTCACTTCATTGTGTACCTATCTAGTTATACTGAACAAGTAAATATATAAAACTATAAATACTTATAGTTTATATTTACAAGGACTTATGGATATAACTATAAGTATTTGTGTTCAGACTAGAGTCTAGACTCATGTGATGTGGGTGTTTGAAAAATGTATTACCGCACCTTAGTTTCTTAAGCCTCGACAACGTATTTATAACTAAGATAAGGTATTAAGTGTATAGTTCATACTTAATCCCTTAATAGGTACTTGCAAAGTAAAATCTTCATTTATATGGTTCTCGCCTCCCTCCCCCCACTTAATTTTAAATAAAAGATCTAAAACTCCAATTAGTGTAGGCTGTCGGAACGAATTGAGTTGATCATAAATACTTGCTTTAGAGTTTTTCTAAAATGTTATTTGCATTATTGTTTTTTTTTTTTTATAAAAACGATTTGCGAAGTGTTGGGTTTTTAGAAAACTGAAAATACAAGTAGGACAATTAACCATTAATCAAGTTTTAAAGACACTAGGTTATTCGACAATATATGCAGATTATTGCACATACCACTTTAATAATTGGACAATGCATATATCAGTGTGGAGTATTGCGCGTTAAACATGAATAATATAATGTGTTTACCTCTTCGCGTGTAAAATTTGCGCTTATCAAAAACGATGTAAAAAACGGTTCGATTGGTCTGATTTCTCTGACCATAGCGAACACACAAACGAGAAAGGCGACATATTTCCATTGTTTCCACGATGTTTCCTCCATGTTAATGATTGTTATTAAAAAGCGATAAAGAAAAAATACTAATTAGAAGTTAATCGTACCTGGTATGTGTATAGCACCTAAACTAATACATCGTAAACCGACTAAACTACGCGATATTCCACGCTCACTGCGAAACGTTATGTACAACAGTCGTCTGTGCAGTGAATAGCTTACAATGTGCACACACTTCTATACCACAAAATATGTGAATCACCTTGAAAGAATAAAACGTTTAGAAATTACTATTATTTTATACAGTAAAGCAGATTTTTATGAAGAACCCACAAACACTTCAGCTATCATTATATAGTTAGGTAGGTACTATATAAAATGAAATCAATATTAAATTTTTTTAAGAACACTTACGTCAACTATGTACCGTAAGCAGTCAATAATTAGTAGTTACCTAAAAATTGAGCGTAGAATACATATTATTTTTATAACGATATTTAATTTACTGCACATACATTTTAAGAAAAAAAAGAAGAAACCAATAAATAATTAATTTTTCCTAACTAAATATTCACTTATTTTTTATAACAAACTATCAAAACCGTATTAAATAGATTAATTAATCGGAAAAAAAATGCATAAACAAAGTTTAGTAGTCAAACTTAATATTTATTTTCAACAGAAAAAACTATGTTAAAATCTTATTTTAATGTGCAAAAATGTGCAAAATAGTTTAACCATAATTCTTATAGTTTGTCTCGATTTACTTATCGGATATAGGCGACTCGGTATTATAAATAATACTACAGCCTGATTCTTGTTTAATATTGCACACGATAATACGAATTTAGAAGAGACCGATTTTATAAAAATTAACTCAGTATAGTAGTAGTTAAGTGTTGCAATATACTAATATTTAAACTCATTTATTTTTTTTATACTTGTATTATAATATTTTAAATAACGGTTATTTCTCTTTCGTTTCTGCTTTAGTTCAAACCCACAGTGAACTAGACTCCAGAGTCGATAATACGTATATAACTCCATGGGGTATGGTGTGCCACCTTTCAAATTACAAAACAATCACATTTTAAATTAAGACCCAATTAAAAACCACTTGCTGTAACTAATTCATTGAATATTTTAGAATCCGAGTTCATTACTTCAAATTAAGTGAAAGTCAACTTAAGATCGGATAATATCAATGATGACATTTGACTAAAATAATATATTTTAAAAATCCATGAACTTATTATTATTACGTACATTTAATCATTGTGAATATATACGTATTTTAGTTCTAAGTGGAGCTGAGAAGATATTGATTTTACAATAATCTATTTTTTAAACTTGGGTGCGGATCTGTGACTGACATAATAACTAACAAGGTAAACGTATTAATCAATTATCATTATATTATATTATTACTAGCACAGTTGGAAAGAATACTGCTATAATACTTTTAAGTAAATTGACAAATATTTTTCTAATTTAGTATATTTAGAACATTACATCGTAGAAAAGTATTCGATTCCCAAAAAAAATTTAAATTAATTTACCTAAATTTTCTTACTCAAATTTTAAGACCTCGACTAATATTATACAATATGTATGTCATATTATATTCATGTATACCTCAAGGCCCAAACCACCTGTAAATTATCCGTGAAAACGGTTTTGCGCGGGACAAACTTACGGAGACAGTAATAGATACAGTAGCCTTACTAAATTGTTACAATAAATAATTAGGTTGATAGCCGGTAGGTACTTTCTTGTGAAGAATTATCGTGGGCCAAATGTATAATGGAACAATTACAATATGCCATATGGACAAAACGTCCGTTGGCATAACTGTTTAGCGGAAAAAAACGGTCGGAACAAGCAATAATCTTGGATAATGAATATAGTGTCTTTGGAACAAATGTCTCTTGGAACAAAAGGTAGTGATCCGTTTTTCTATTGTTCGTTAAGCATATATTTAATATTATGCTGTGATTGGTTCGCGCTTTTAGATTATCACTGATTATTGATTACATGGCGTTAAAACCGTCCATGTGTACACGGCCTCGATGATGACTATCAAAAAATAGGAAAATGAATAAACAGTTCAGTTTTTATCATTACTCTGTTGAACATAATAATTTGTTCGTGTTTTACGTTTAGGAATTAGTCATCTTTTTGTTATTTTTTTTCTCGAAATTTAGCATAAAAAATCATTAATAGACCGTGAAAAATCTAACAGTTTTCCAGGTTGATCTGTCTCATCTATACAGATATTGGTGAGTGTCATTAAGACGTATCTTTGATTTCCCGTAACGAAATAATGTGTTCTATAATCAATTTTTGCAGGACTATCAGGTACAAAAATCACAGATCAATCGAAATGACTTCTTTTGACGATATTAAAAATTTATACCAAACTCTGAAAACCGAATGGAATAAGAAAAAACCTGATTTCAAACAATGCAACAACATATTGTTACAAATCAAGGTATGAACATCGATTTATTAGAAATTACTACATTGTACCTGATTTTGAGGCGTGTGTTTTATAATATTTCATAAAATTGTATATTATTGGATCATATTCTATTAGACCATATTTTGGTACAGTCTATAGTTAGAGGACAGGGATGGCTTGACAGTGTAGCGCCATACACACGTCTGCTTAAATCAGATTTCCTTTGTCTAGGTCCTTAACTTCGTAGTTGAGTATTTCATGACATTAATTGAAAAATATGGAATCTTTATTTTTCCTTTGATTAATATATGCTCTGTGCGGAATAAGAAGATGATAATTTTTCTAAATAACTTGTGTCATGTGCACAGCAGCTATCGTAACAGTCATACACAAAACAACCAATAAAATTCTTGATATTAATGATAAATATAATAGGGAGTTCGGCCACATAGTTATTTTCTTATTTCGGACTAAGTAAATGATTATTATAAAAAAATCAAGTTGTGCCACTAAAGAAGTGCACATTAATGTCGTGTCTTAATTATATAATTTAATTAATAGTATTTAATTGATGAAGCTGTTGACTCAAATGTATTTTCATTATTTAGGTTGGAATGACTAAACATACATTTTTGCCAACTACCAATGTTGAAGCTAGTCAAAAGGAATATTTAATTGCCAGTAAGAATACAATTTTTTTGCTTGTCTATGAAAAGAATTCATAATATGATATTAATTTTTTAAATGTATAATGTTATAGGAGACATCTTGGAAGTAGGCGTGCAATGTAGTATTGCGATGCACGATATACCGTCATTTGAACGATACATGGCTCAGCTCAAGTGTTACTACTTGGACTACAGGTTTGTACTTTTTTAAGTGTAATTGGTTCACAGTCAAATTTATGTACAATTTTGTAATTTTTTCGACAGAGATAAATTACCGGAGTCTGCAAATCAATACCATTTGTTAGGACTTAACTTGTTATTCTTGCTTTCACAAAATCGAGTTGCTGAATTTCACACCGAATTGGAACTATTGCCGTATGACATTGTACAAACCAACCCATATATAAGGCATTCGGTTGCTCTTGAACAGTATTTAATGGAGGGTAGCTATAACAAAGTAATGTATTGCTTAGGATATGACTTATTATTATTTAAATCACTTTAGTGAAAGGTAATTCAATAATAGTTATTGACACAAATTTAGTTCTATTACTGTTTGTATAAAATGTTAATTCTAACCTAATACTATTTTTTGATAGGAAAATCAATACCAATACGGGGAAAATGTATAAATTTTACATTTTTTTATCTTCTAATTTTTATTATTCTGATTTCTGTATCAAGACTAATTGAATCGCCTTGTCTTGGTGTCTGTCACTAGAGACCATTTAAAACAGTCCATTGTAATTTGGAAAAGTTAAGTAATTGATGGTCAAAATACTGAAGAGAACTCAAAAAGTTAAATTTCGATATTAGGGTTTTAGTTTTGGGTTATTAAATTTTTAGTCTGAAGAAAAGTGTACATTTAATAACCATTATAAATAGAGGATATAAAAAGTATAAAAGTTGTATTTTACGTGTTATTTAATCATAAGCAGTGTTGGGCAAAATTGAAATTGAATAATAAACAGTAAAGTAAATAATTTTTTCTCAAACATTTTTAAATAAACAATAATTTTTAATATATCACTTCTCCAATTAAAAAATTAATTCCCACCTATAGTGGCAAATACATACTAATTAAATTTTTTTGGGCTTCTTCAGTTACTTTGTTCCAAGCTTCTAATTATGTTATAACTATTAGTTAATTTAAAAAGTGGCGTTTACCCCATAAATATATTATAATTAACTGAAAAGTCAATAACAACAATTTCAATAATCTACCATGAGACTCTAAAATAGTTATTAAATTAAAAAAAATTGTTTTAATAGATATTTCAAGCGAAAACAAATGTACCATCAGATACTTATAACTTTTTCATGAACATACTCTCAAATACATTACGTAATGAAATTGCTGAATGTTTGCAAAAAGCATACAAAAAGGTATCGTTTACATCTGCCACCAAAATGCTGAACTTTACCAACGTTTCTGAAATGAATGAATTTGCCAATAAGGTAACGGTTGAATAATAGCTTTATATAAACATTTTCCTTTTTTTAATGTTGTTGTTGTAAAATGTTAAGCGAAACTGGATATTGGACCAAGAAGGATTTTACGTATTCCATTTCGAAGAAGAAAAGAAAGCTATCGAACCTATACCTGCATTACAAATAGCCGATTACGTTTTACACTATGCTAAAGAATTGGAAACTATTGTGTAATTTTTGAATATGGATATGAACCATAGCTGAAGATATAATTTCTAAATTTTTAAAACTTCATTGTAATACAAAATAATATAATAAATGTAAAATTATAATTTGTAAGTTACTATCGATTATGGGATTTATTTTATTGCTAACAGCATATTTTATTATATTTTCAAATACGTTGTATTGTTTATACTACAATTATAGGGAAAATAGAACATTTAATATTAATTATTTTTTAAAAAATGAATTATTTTTACTACAAAGTTATAAAATTTGCACTTGAAAATTATTTTTTTAAGAATGATTTTTTTCCCACATTTCCAAAAATGACGTAACTTTTTGTAATTGTTCTTCAATTGGTTCTTTTTGACGTTTGCGCCATACATTGTGATCTAAATCCATCATACCTCCAATAATTTCCTACAAAAAATGTATAATGTAAGATACGCAAATAATAACAATCATATTTAATTTAGAATGGTCTTGATGCTCTTATGGAGTTTGGTTACAATAAAAATCCGAAATTGAAATTTATTTTTCAGTAAAATTATACTCATTTTCTTTAGCGATCAAATTAATTTTCTACAAATGAAACATTAAAAATGTAAAAAAAAAGTTTGAAACTTACTTCAGCAAAATTATTTGGAAACAATTTTTCGTCTTCAATTACATGAGCGTATCCGCCTTGCATTCCGAAATCAACAGCAAAATACGGTAGACTTTTGGGAACAGCTCTACGTACGTCTTTACTACTGAGGTCTACGACTTTTTTGTTAATCGCCCATTCGGTTTCACACTCTAAAATGGCTTTTTTAAAATATATCGGCGCCGTGTCTCCGATTTCAATAGGCACAGGAACGCAATTCCAAACCATATGAGGCATGTTGTTTAGTTGCATTGCACTTTCAAAAAACACTATATCTTCGTCTTGATCTTTAAACATTGAAGTTAATGATTTTCTAAATGTCTAAATAACAAAAAATTATGTTAATTAAAATATATCAATGAAAATGTTTTAATAAGGTATTCAGGCAAACGGTAGTGTAGTCGCAGTGTTTAACATGGTACTCCTGTAGTGTTGTGGGTATCTTTACAACTACGCAATACTGTATTTACCTGCATTTCGGTCCAAACGTCTTCGTCAATGTCGGTTGCACACGCATAATGGTAAATGGGTACAATTAAACAATGGCCCTCCGTTAGAGATTTATAGGACGGTAAACAAACGTAGCACTAGAAGTAAAACTATTGTATAGGACCAGCACATAATATAAAACATGGTATAATTAATTAGAAAAAAAAATATATATAAATAATATGTACTTTTTCTCCTTTGGCAATTACGAGATGTTTCATCATTGCTTCACTGTCAAAGCAATAACGACATGAGTTTAAAATTTTTTCAGTACGTTTATGTTCGTTAATTGCTCGCACGGTTTCCCTCACAGCTTTTTTAGATGATCGTTTTTCTGATGCACGTTCAACAAAAACATCATCTTCATCGTCTCTACTATTAACCTAAGAAATTGTTAAATTGTACAACACAATAATTGCATAACATTATTTTTGTAATACATTTATTTATTATATTTACCTTTCTGGATAGTTTTACAAACTCTAAATTGCTATCTTCAGCTGTAGTAGTCATTTCTTTTTCAAACTAAAACGAAACAGTTACATTAACCCTAGAACACTAACCTTATTTTCCCCCTTTTATTGCTAACCATTCGTTAATTTGTCGAAATGTACATAACATGTTAAGATTACTCTGATTGTTTTCTTTTCTTATTATAAAATAAATATAACAATATAAATAAATAATAAGTATAATAATATCTTGTGTTATTTGAAATCATCCCTTATTAATAACTTTCGTACTATCGGCGAATTAAAACAGCATGCATTTTGTATGTACAAATTTACGTATATTAGTAACTATTTGTTGATTCGACGATGTGGGTTTTGCACAATCAAAGGTTGGCGACTAACTGATAACAATAGGAGTTTTTAATTTATTATTAAATATACCCAATGATATTGACGATTGATAGATTAGTGGTAGAATAGCATACAATATACATACTAAAATTATTAGTAATTGTCGAATTGACGAATGGTTAGTGTTCTAGGATAAATATTTAAATGTGTGATATTAATACGTAAAATTAAGCATTATAATAATTTAAAACAGACTACAGGCAAACACAGTACGAGTAACACCAAAAGATAGCCCTGAAGATGGAATGTGCAAGTATTTCAAAACGTTGGCAGACAAATCAATCTGTTCAAGTTGGAGTAACCGCAAAATATGTAAATAGAATAAATTTAAAACATACCATTGATTTCAAAGAATATTTGTCATCGTCGTCAAAATATCTAACTCTTTTTCCATCCTCGTGTGTTAAAACCCGTTCTCGTTTTTTCTTTCTAACATCATTATTTTGATCAGACTTAGACGGCGCAACAGGATAACTATATCCTTTAGATGAAGTTCTAGTTAACAAAACAAAATCTCCTTTCTGTTTCGAACCAGTTGAAAATTCATCTTCTTTAGATTTAGAGAGATTTCGCGCAGAATCAAGCTTACGACGTAATTCTTCAGCCAATGCCTGTATTGTTTAAAAAAAAAAAACCGTATAGTGAAATATTTCCAAGTTCTAACATTTTAAATAATTTTTAGATCCATGTAATATTAATTTTAATTTGACTAATAATATTATATTATACCTAAAATATACTTTAATTATTATTGTTAACTCACAGTATTTCCCATTAATTCTGCTTTGATTTGTTTTGCTGCAAGTTCATTTAACTCTGCATCTGTTAGAGGGTTTTCTGAATTTTCTTCTAGTATATTATTAGGGTTTTCATTTTTCGAACTACAACTGGTTAATAAATCTCTATTTTTATCATGTGTTTGGGTTTCTTCATTTGTTTCATATTTCTTTTCATTTTTATGCTCTCTGTGTGATCTTCTTTTATCATCTTTTTCGTTGTCACGATCTTTATGTCTACTGTGATGGTTACTTGAATGTTCTCTGTCATTATAATCTTTATCTCGTTTATAGCTGCATCTATGACTTTTTTCGGGATGTAAGGTATGTTTACCGTCTTTAGAATCGTGCTTCCGCCATGATTGGCGACTACTCGACGAACTTGCATATTTAATTTGGTGTTTCCTATAATCATCGTCATCATCTGCTTTGGGTTTGAGAAATTCTTTGAGGTGACTTTTTTTTGGTTCTGTAGGTGGTAGACCAGTTCCACCATTCTTCCAGTAAGGATTTAATTCTCGACTAGATTGCCCAGGCTGTTAACAAAAAACAAACATAATTAAATTAATATAATATACTTCTTATAAAGCAAAACTCTTAATATCATTGTTAAATAGATGATTTTACCATGTTCATTCTAGCTTTAGCAATTTCAGCGTCGTCATGTTTACTATTATTCTTTTTTTCAGGTTCTTTTGATGAATTGCATATAACGTCCAACCAGCTATCAGCTTCTATTTTCGTTTGGGAGGTTACACGTACAGGTTTCTCTTTTTTTTCTATCCATTGATCGTTATCAGATGTATTTGCAGTTGACACCGAGGATGATGAAGACGATGATCGCTATGGTTAATAAAAAAATAATAAAATACTAATTTAATAAATTATATATCACATTAATACTTCTATCACATTTATATTGCTCAGTACTCACGTATCGCTTCTTCTTACTGCTTTTTTTCTTGTGTTCTTTTTTATGCGACTTTTTCGCCATTTCGAGTGTTTTGTACTACCACCGTGTCTTGTTGAAGATCTTGTAGCAAACGCCGCTGCTTTTGCCTTTCAATATCGTTCAAAACACCTTCGTGTAGTTTGTTCAAGTCGTCCTGTTGTTGATAATGTACAAAACCTATAATACCTACTGATAAAACACACGACAGTCCAAATACTATTTTAGACGTTATTGACATACTAATATCCGATTTAAAGAACCGTACTGCGTCTGATGCAACTAATAGTATTCTTTTGTAAAATTTTACTTGAGAAAATTAATCAAATGTTTTTTTTAAACCTAACTAAACATGATACGAAATCCGTATGATAAGACATGATAACCGATGGTTAAGTCATAACCTGGTAATATTGCGCGGGCGTTGCTCTTGCAGATTGGGGTTACACTTCAAAAAGACGACGACTGTGACAAATCGTTAAGATAAATTTAAGATCGAGTGAACATTAATTAAAATATTTTAAATAAGAAAAGACTTAATAAAATTTACCGAAATGGACTTAAAAAAAAAAGGATCATGACTTGGATTTTTAAAAGTTTTGGAACAAATGTCATTTGGACAAAATGTATAATTGGAGATGCACGGTACACCACCTTCCAGTTGCCGGCGTTAACCTTGTTATCAGTAAACTCGAAATTCGAATGAAAAATATTGAAAAACAATTTTAAAGTATATAAAAAGTTTTTTTTTAATTCTTGAAAATTGGATTATTTCGTCAGTAATAAGCGAAAAATGTCAATTTGTAATCGTTTTTATCGTAAAAAGTATACAGCTGTTGAGGGTCAATGTATGTTGTTTGCATATGAAAGTATGTTCACAGGACAGGAAGTACATCATATTAGCAATGCCCATATAAGGTAATGTTCACTTGTTGGTCTCATTTCTAGTTTGAAGCCCACGGAGTGACAGTGTTTTTATATTTTTTAAACTTTAAAGTGCATTTTAGTTAACAAAATATGGCATTATCCCTCCGAATTCGCTTGGTTGGCGACGGGGTGACTAAAACAATGCAGTTTGATCAATCGACTTTAGTTTCTGATGTTTGTTTACAGATTGGCGGAAAAGCTTCACAGGACCATCTGTCTGAATACACTTTGTTTTTGGCTGATGAAGATTCTAGAAAAGGCATATATCTCGAACCAACACGTAGCTTAGAATATTACATTTTGAGAAATGGAGATTTGCTTGAATATCGCAAAAAAATGAGAACTTTAAAGGTCAGTACCCTCGATGGAACTATTAAAACCTTAGTAGTGGACGATACTCAACCAGTCGCTAACCTTATGGCAGTGATATGTGCTAAATTAGGCATCACTAATCATGACGAGTATAGTTTAGTTAAAGAAACCGCCGAAGGAGATGAAAACAACATCAATGTTGGAAACTCGGTAAAAAGAGATCATAAAATGGAACATTTACGTAAAAAGTTAAAGACCGACGAAGAAACCAACTGGATAAATCCCGGATCGAGTTTACGTGAACAGGGTATTTACGAACAGGAAGGAGTGTTGTTAAAACGCAAATTCTTTTTTTCTGATGGCAATATAGATACTCACGATCCGATACAGCTCAGTTTATTGTACGTCGAAACAAGAGACGCAATTTTAAAAGGTACTCATCCGGTAACCGAGCCACTTGCTGTTCAGCTTGCGGGTATACAAACACATATTCAATTTGGAAATCATGACGAGCTTAAACATCGACCTCCTTTATTAGATCTTAAGGAATTTCTACCACAGTCTTACATTAAACTTAAAGGTATAGAGAAAAAAATTTTCCTTGAACACAAAAAATACATTGATCTACCAGAACTTGAAGCCAAGGTTTTGTATACCAGAACGGTACGAGCTCTTCCGACCTATGGAGTAACATTTTTCTTAGTCAAAGAAGAAATGAAGGGAAAGAACAAACTTGTGCCAAGACTTCTTGGAGTAACCAAAGATTCAGTATTGCGTTTAGACGAGAAGAGTAAAGAGGTACTTCAAACTTGGCCATTAACGAGCGTTCGTCGCTGGGGAGCTTCGCCACATACATTCACTTTAGATTTTGGTGATTACTCCGATCGTTATTATTCGGTACAAACCACCGAAGCTGAGCAAATTTTACAATTAATATCCGGCTATATTGATATTATTTTAAAGAAAAAAAAAACTAAGGATCATTTTGGGATCGAATCAAATGAACATTCAACAGTAATGGAAGACACAGTTGGCCCATTAAAAGCGATTGTGATGGAAAATAACGGACAAAAAGTTAAAACTGAGTCAGTTGCTAAACCTGCACTTCTTAGAGTACCTCAAGCACAGCCATACATGACTGGTTATATATCTGAAGAACAATATACTTCTATAGAATTTATATGCACTGAAGCAATAACTGGAGTGATGGAGGATCTTGATACTACCATATCGGAAGATAAATGGGAATTGGAAGTTGGAGAAAAAAAGTTTTCCGATTATCGGGAAAATATTTTAAAGACCTCGAAAACTTTAGTGGAAAACACTAAATCACTCGTAGCTGGTGTTGGTGTATCTAAGGAACAAGTTGATGAGTCGTCTAAGAATGCATTGTCAACAGTTTTACAACTGGTTGAACTTGTAAAAGCTGGTGCGGCTTGTATAGATGATCGTGAAGTTCAAATAAATTTAATAAGATCAGTTAAAAATGTCACTAAAGCTCTCGGTGAGCTAATCACCGGTTGTTTTGAAACCCCATCTATGGATGAGCTAAAGGAAAAAGCAAAAGTATTGGTAACCAATGTAACAACATTATTGAAGACGGTCAAGTCTATTGACGATGAACGTACTCAAAATACATACACGCTAGAATCAACCGTTGAAGCTATTGAAAAAGAGCTGCAGAAAAACCGCATTATTTCAAACTATGAAACAACTACTGAAGAATTAATTCATTCTGCCAAGCATATTGATGAAACTACTAAAAGAATGTTAGATATCGTTGACAAAGGCAAGCCCAGAGACGTAATAGATGCTGTAAAAGAAAGTCATAAGTCGGTTAGCGAGTTGTTAACTGCTTGTTATGGAAAGAACTTAAATGAAAAAGTTCTGGATGCAGGACGTCAGGTGGCAGAAGAATTTCAAGTATTTTTAAATACCATTATAGAAAATTCGAAGAAACCCTACCCAAGTTTCAAACAAGATTTAGACCAAGTGTCTCAGCGTGTATCATCAAAAGTACATTATTTAATTACAATTGTTGAACATATTGAAACTATCGAGTACCATTTATTAGACTCGGCGACTGAAATTGATACTGCAGTAAAAAAACTAAATTTAATTCAACCGAGGCCTTATGAATTTAAAGTCGATGAGACATGTTGGAAATCAGACGAGGTCATACTAGAAGCCGTTAAATCAATTGCAGCCGCGACTTGTGCATTAGTAAAGACAGCTTCTCTTGCACAACACGAAATTGGTATAGATGAAGGCGTAGATGGATTAGTACACGCAGCTAAAATGGTGGCGACCGCTACTCACAGCCTTGTGGACTGTGCTCGAGAAGTGATTGAAGGTATATCTACTGAAAACAAACTTATATCGGCAGCTAATCAAGTGGCTACCTGTACAACACAACTCTTGGTCGCTTGCAAAGTCAAGGCAGATCCGAATAGTGATGCAACAAAGCGACTTCTTGCTTCAGGTAAATAATTAATAAATATTCAATAGTCATTGCGCACAATATTATTTTGTCAACAGTAACTGAAGAAAGTAATACAGAATATTATATATTTTTTCTTTAGGCAATGTGGTTAAACGTGCTACTGAAAACGTGGTTAGAGCAGCACGACAAGCTATGAAGGCTGATGAGAGTAAACGACTTATTCTGGACGAAAGAATGGTTGGTGGCATGGCACAGGAAATAGATGCCAGGTCTGATGTGTTGAGAATCGAACGAGAGTTAGATGAAGCTCGGAAACGTTTAGTGGTTATAAGACAATCAAAAAACAAAAATACTGATCATTAACATAGTTTGTTAATTCAATAATTCTAATTGTTCGTAACAACTGAGAATTCATTCCTTAAAACTAATATTTTAAGTTTAAATTATGTATTAACTTTTTTATTTATTTATTAATACATAAAAAAAAAAATTAACGAAAAAAAGCATAAAATTCTAACCTATATTTTTTACTAAAAATCATAATTACTAATTTCTGTCTTAGACCATCATCAGTGGTTATGGTATTTAAACTATAACTACAAATACAAATATGAAAAACGATTTTCTTTTTAGTATTTTTAATTTTTAAAAGAAAATGGCATTTCTTTAATAAATACTGTTTTTAAATGTTTTTGTTTGATAAATGTCTTTAGTAATGTTAAACTGATCAATAATAATGAACTATTTAAAACATATTTTTTATGAATGTATAAATTAATAAAAAATGTATAAAAAAATGTACATTATTTAGTTGTATTCATTTTTTAAATAAATAATCCTGTTAAAAAAAAATAGCTTTCAGTACATAAAATACATTTATATTACAAACATTTGATTATAAAGTACTAAGTAATATTATAAGGTTTTTAAATTTTTTTTTAAGTACAAATATTGAAAACTGTACAATTTGAATTGTATATTGTACATTGATATTTATATATATATTCATTAGGTTATAGCAAAAATCTGTACATTTATATAGCTTATCAAAACATTAAAAACTTAAATATTTGTTTTTATATAATTACTTAGATTATAATAAACATTTGAATGTTATCTGTTTTATTATTTTTGTTATATATTTTATTAATGAACTTATTTAATTTTTATATAGCTAATGATTAATAAATATATTTTGTACACAATTTGTATTAGGTATTAATGTAATTCAATTTTTATAAAAGCTGTATTTTAAAGGTTACAAAAGAAACAACCCAGTGTAAGCTTAAGTGTTCTTAGACCAAGGAAAATCGAAAGAAAAAAATAAACTACAAATCTAGTGTTAATAATTAAAAAAAAGCGATAGAATTAGAGGTCTGTGTATTTTTGTTGATAATAAAGTTCTGTTACTTTTAGATATTATTAAAATTACCTCTACGCTAATACAATATATTATTTTTATATTAATCATTTTTAGTAATTAAATAATACAAATCGTTTTTTAGGCTCAATTCAGTTTTGTATGTATTTTACTGTTACAAACTTTTGTGCGTATCCATACTATTGACTAATCTAGAGAGCAGCTATTTATGTTCACTACCTAAGTATATTTTGATAATACTCGTACTGGGTTGATGAACGTTTGTTAGGGACTTAATTAATTTTTTAAACTTTTGTGATCTTTTTAGTGGTTAGTAAACGCGCATTTAACTGTATTAATTTTCTTATTAACCACGTATTTATTTGTTGTTCATAATTAATTAAAAAATCATGTTATTCATTGAATACAATTGTTTATTATTTGCAAATAATTGTTCTTTATTCGTTATTTTTAATTTATTATTCAGTATTCTGTTCAACAGCTCTTAAATACAGTTATGTTTTGATAATAAAAACAAATTCTAAAAAACATTTTCTAAAACAAAAATAAAATATGTTTAAAAGATATTTAAGATAACAAAAATTAAGATAGTTATTATATTTGTAATTTGTATTATAAATAATATTTGATGAGACATTTAATCTCCTACAGGGCCGTGTTTAGGAATTGGTCACCCTAGGGTAATAAAAAAAAAACTCCCTACTATAATATAATACAAATTTAACGCAATATAAAAAAATTTTGCCGCCCGGGGCAACAGCCCCCTGTTGCCCCTCCCCTAAATACAGCCCTGATCTCCTATAATGAAAATTAACTTTTAGTTGTAGAGGTACGAAGTATAATTTATCTATTATTAGTAAAATTATGTATTGTTTATCATATCATAGATAATTTATGTATTTAATCTATGATCATATTGGTAAAAATTTGACTAATTTATTTAGTTGGTGTCTATTTTACGCTGAAAAAAAAATTAAGTACGGCGGCCATTCGTGTTTAGTCAATTTTTACAAAATGGCTCCTCATATGGTGGCTCATGACACCTCATTTTTTTTGCCATGTTATGTTACACAATAAATTGTTCACTTTATAATATCTCATATCATTTATCATTCATCTCATATCTCATATCAGTGTTCATATCTCTTACAGTGGATTCCTTACCGGAATTTTGTCGGCAGTTTTTTTAATGTAGTAATATATATTTTACATATCAAGTAACAAAAATCAAAAACTTATTTGGTATGCAAGTATACTATTTTTGTGTCATCATTTATATACATATTATATTTATAGATATAACCTAAATAATACTTAATTATTCTGTATAGGTATGATATATTAGCTGTTGTAAAACAATTTGTATATTGTTTAAAATATGGACAAGATAAAGGTAAAGAAGGGCAGTCAAAATATGAAAAATTCAACTAAAATACAAAGCGTAAAACTAACTGATTCTACGGCATCAATAATGAAGCTTGTGGATGAGCTTCTAGATGGTTTGTTTTTTTAACATTACTTTATTTAGCTAAATTGTTGTTAAACTAAGATAATATTTAACAGCCACTAGCACAATATCTAATTCGGCATCGGTTAACGAGCAGTGGTCTATACACTTGGTGATTGCTGATTTACTGTTTAAAATCAAAACACTAGAAGCGGAATTTGGATTGAAGCCTTTATCCCAAAGGAATGACCAAGCAATTGAGAAATTAACTAAATGGGCTGTAAAAAATGACGCTATTTTAAACGGAGTAGAAGTCTATCAATTAGATGATGGCACATATGGTATGAAATCTAAACAAAATCTTTCAATCGGGGAAAAGATAGTAATAGTACCTAAAACGTTGATGATTACTGAAGAAAATATATTGTCATCCCCATTGCGTAAGTAGTAAATGAACATTTTTCAATATGTGCTATGACTTAATAGTTAATTTTTTTTTTTTTAATAAAATCAATGTTTTACCCTAGGAAAACTACATTCGCAGGATATGATGTTACGTAATATGCCTAATGTTGCTTTAGCTATATTTATCTTAGTAGAATCATTACGTAAAGATAAAACGAGCTTTTGGAATCCATATTTGAGTACTTTACCCGAGTCATATTCAACACCGGTTTACTTTGAAATAGCTGATCTGGAAGCGTTAAGAGGATCACCTACTTTGGGTAAAATTTGTTTAATATATTATTTTTTAGTGTCAATACATGATTTTTTTTGTAGAAGCTGCATTGAAACTTAATAGAAACATAGCTCGTCAGTATGCTTATTTTAAAAAACTTTTCCAGGTAAGAAAACGATTTTCATTTATATTTTTGTGTATTGATTAATTAAATAGTTATTTTTTTTACTACATCTTTGGCTGTTCTAAATCAAAACAGTGTTGGATAATTATGGAAAAAAAACATTGATACTGTGTTTTGATTTACAATAGCTGATTTTGTTAAGTTGTATTTTTGGCTTATATTATTATTTGTAATTTTCAGTTGTCCAAAGATCCAGCCAGTTTGATTTTAAAAGATACCTTCACATATGAATATTATAGGTAAGTAATGATGCAATAGTGTTTACCAGTAGTCTGCAGGAAGCCCTGTAAATGTATTTTTCGAGAGTGCTAAATTTCACTAACTCTTTGGTGTGTTCAAAGCCGGTGAGGCATTGTATTAGTCTTTAGGATAGAAGATGTGGAAACGTTTTTGACTCAATGGCTAAAGTATTGTGTAAAAGAAGTGTATAGAATTTAAATTTCGGCTTAAAAAACTGAGTATGAAAAACAATTTTGGTACTATCGATTGATAGAATTTTAACTGACAACATTATCCGCCAAAACCAGAAATGAAAAATACTATTAAACTAGGAGAAGTATTTATGTTAGGAAATTTATCATAACAAATAGATTTTATTTATTAATTGTAAATGTGTAAAATAATTGTCCATATCAAACAAAAATATTTTTAAAAAAAATAAGCCTTTCTTCTAGTTAGATAATAAAATGTTAATTTTTCCCAGAGCTTATGTGGACCCCTGAAGTAGAGTTTAAAAACAACTATAACATTACCTATTGTTAAAAGACTAAAAATATTATTTAAATTAGGTACTTTAATGCTATCACGCGATTTTGGAACCAGAATTTAAGTAATATAGGTTTTCAGATTTTATTTGTTGAATCTGATTTTAACACAAAACGGTTTTTGTTTTGTAAGTTGTGTTGTGTTAGCTTTGGAGGTGATTTAAAAATAAATTGTTTCCTAGTGAAAATCTTAAGCCAGATTCGGATTTTGTGAAAAAAAGACAAACTTTAGTTCTTGTTCCATTATTGGGTTTTATTCAGCTGTAACTGTTATTGATGTTCCGAGTCCTGACTATCATATCATATCATTTCGATTCGATGGTTTTCAAACCTTAGCCTTATTTTTTTTTCGACATACTATAAGTGAAGATATAATTAATAATTTTTGTACTGTATGTAGAGTTACGAATCATGAATTAAAATCAACTTAATCATTATATATCTATTTAACATAAATTGCACGATAATATTTTTGAATAATTGTACCTCACAATATCAATAATAATTTAAAATTCATCATAAGAATGGATCACATTAACAACAATAATACGATTAATGCTTAAACAACTATATTATGGTCAGTCGTAACGGAAAGTCCTTCTTAACGTTCTCCATAAATAGTATTGGCGATTAGCTGTCATACGATCGTCAATGCGGTCACCGTATCCATCGTAGTATTGATCGTGATAGGGTTTGTCCATTACCGGACTCGTGCTACGAGCGCTGGACCTGAGATCCGGATCAGAATGGATATTGTGTTTGCAGTATACCGAGTTCTTTCTCAACACTCTCTTTTTCTGTCTCATTCTACACGAAACGAGCAACACGAAAAATCCCAAGACTGCTATAGCCAGTATGGCCGCACTGGCTATGATCGCCGACTTCACAGCCGCTGGTAATTTCCTCATTTCAAAACGGCGGTATTCCAAGCCCTCCTCGTTAATTTCTTTGTCGCCTTGTAGCAAAGACTTATCTATATGATTAGTGTCTTGGATGAACAATATTTGGGACGGAACCGTTGGTGTTACCAATGGCCTGACTGTGGTGGCTTTAGTCGAAAAGTCTGGCATGCTTTCGAAGAGCCGCGGTTCTCTGTCCGGTATTACGGAAATTATTCGCGACTTAGGACCTTTCGACACGTATGAAGTGTCACCGTCTAACGAAGTAGTGAATGTCGTGGTCGTAGGGAAGTCCATTTTTTTCACACGTTGTCCATTGTTTATCGTTTCAACGTCATCGTCATCGTCTTTTGTCCCGGCGATTGTCCCATCTTTTACGCGCTCTTCTTTGTAGATGGTCACATAGTGATCTTTCGTCGTTTTGGTTTTGTATGTCAATAACGGGTTTTCCGTGGACTGTGCACCCACCAGTCCTCCTAAGGTGACGCGGTCTTTTTGTGCTAATAATTTGGTCTCTATCAAATAGTTTGTAAAGTTTTTCGCGTTTTCTTCCACAACCGTCGGTTCGGTACTTGTGATTGTCGTTTGACGGTCGTCCAGCAATTGCTGATGTCTTTGACTTGATCCTCGCTCTCTGTGCTGCAAAAGTTGTTCCAAAGACATATTTCTCAGGTTGAGTATATTTGACAGCAACGACGAGCCGGTCTTGGTTTTCAACAAGGTCAATATTTCGTCTTTAACTTTGGGAATGCTGTCGGATTTGAATTTCAGCTCCTCCTTTCTGTCCTTTGGCTGTTGATTAATCATTTTCGATAACGCTTCGTCGTCGAACTCGTACTCGTCGTCGGCGGCGGTTTCCTTGCGAGTAGTTTGCTCTGGCTTGATAAAACCCGGCGGAAGCAGCTCCAAAGGCACTTCTTCTTTGATCAAAAGAATGTTCGGTTTCATAGTAGTAGTCGAAGTGGTAGTGGTGGTAGTTATAATGGTAGTTGTAGTAATATCTTCGGAAGACGTATTTGTAGGCTTTAGACGTCTTCTTATTATCGCTGAAGTAGGCGGTAAGTTACTGGCGACCGGTCTCCTATGAACCACCACCATGTCGGGTCGGGTCGAATTTGATTTTTTTGTGTCTCTACCGGCTGATGTTTTAGTTGTTTCTTCCACGTAGCTCTGTTGCGTTGTCGGTGAAAACGTAATAATTCTGTGTGTTGTTGTAGGTTTAGTCAAGGTTGTCCGTGAACTTTCCGTCGTAGTGGTCTTTAACGGTTTCCACTTTGCCTCTTCTGTCGACGTTATCGGATCCCAGTGTTGGTTTGCAACTTGCTCTTCGTCGGTTCTGTTGGCACTTGGTCTCCTTAACTGTTTCCTGCGGGGCAAAACGTCCTCACTTTCTAGTTCGTCGTACACGGGTCTCCTGTTTACTGGTCGCCTTCGCCTCTTCATCGGTCTTCTTCTCACGTATACGCCATCTACGTAATCCCCTTCTGCTGGTGGTTCTTGGAAGCGAGCTGATGACTCTGCAGTTGGGTCTTGCTCTTCATACACGTGCGTCGAAGTCCTCGGTCGTTTACGCCGGCGCCGTCTCTTTCTGCGGGTTTTTCTCGGAGGCGTTTGAGCCTCGGCATCACTCCCTTGGGCTTGGTCTGACGGGAACGGCACATGACTCTCAACGATTTCGGATGAAGCCTCGTCAATACCGGTTTCTTCTAGTTCTTCTTCGTCGCCGTCGCCGTCGCCGGTTTCTACATCGAATGACGGTTGATCCTAAAAAAATTGTAACATTTTTAAATAATTAGCCATAGAATTTTTATTTATCTCGCTTAACGAACACTTACATGAGCTGATTCTTCTTGGGCGTAGAGAAAACCTTGCATGTATGTATTATGCTCTCCTTCGCCGCAGTTCACATTGACGATTAAAAGAGATGCTAATACGCAGCTGAGTAATGTCCAAATTAGCTTTTTCATTTTCCTAAGTACAAACAAATTAAAAATAGTTATAATTATTTTTTAGAAGACGTATCATAACGCTGGCAATTTAATTCAAATATGAAATTTCTTTTGACCGGTAATCATTTTATAAATGAGTATATAATAAATTATTATTTCCGTTTTATGTTGTATAGAAATACGAATCGGAGTAACGGCGCGTGGGGTTTATAAATGAATAACCGGTGTTGTCAGTTGTGTTATATATTATAGGATATAAATCCTATAATATGCTCTAGTGCAACCTGCGCGTGTCGGTGTTTTACGGAGAATGATTGATGGTCAACGAATGATGATTGCGCGAACTTGAGCGAGCATACTTTCTCTGTTTAAGTCGTTTGGGTATTCGAAAATCTGATGAAAACAAAATGAAATTCATCTGGCCACTCAATGTTATTGTCATCGTGTGTTTACCGTGCAAGACATATTTTAAGGTTTTATGGTACGCTGCGCATGCATTCAGTTCAATGGCATATAATAACAGTCTGCCTGCCTACACTAATAATAATAATATCATAGATGTAAATTATATGGCATTGCGGTTTTCGCGATGAGTTATCGCCCAGTGGTGATCATTTGAAAGTCCACGTATTCTCAAAATGTAGTATATTAAATACATTTTATAGTTTTATCAATTATCTGGCTACTGTATGTCTGTATGGAATATTCTGAAAATACCTTAACATAAAAGTGAAACGCCTAAAGTCATCTAGACATCTCCGTGTGACGATGATCTCATCTTTAACACCTGGCCAAAACATTTAAAACTATTACCGGGCGGATTTTCTCGTGCCTGTTACACCAAACAATTTTCACGGCGAATTAGAATCGGATTGTGTAAAGTACAAGCACGTCTATTATATACATTTGAAAAAGTATAATAACAGTCCGATCATCGTGTTTGTTATCATTATTATTTCTATATAATTTTATTTTATTTTCATTTGTCAATAAAACATTATGTGACAATCTAAAGATTTCACTCGGTGGTACCGCTAGCAATCATTGTAATCCGTTATCACATGGCTATTTCCAGGTTATTTTCTGAGTGCCATAAATACGTATATTGGATTTGTACAAAGAACTTACATTGTTGTCTATTCAGTCTATTTACCTGTATTATTTATTTTTTAATCGAAAAATGAATAACTGTTTAACAGGACAAAATACATCATATATGATTAAGCAGCAATGTAATAACTAAAACATATAATTCGATACACAGAGTTCGAAACAGCCACAGTAATTTAAAATTAATTTTCGATTTTTAAAATCGAAATTAAATAATTTGGGTTTTTATTATATTTAAACGCTGTTGAAATATTAGAATTTATTGTTTTATTTTTATTTTATACGTTTCCATAATTCAAGACTCGAAATGAATGACTTCACTGAAAACAATTACTAAATAACATACCTTCCTTAATGAAAAACAGTTTTATAACTATTTGTTGGTCATGTCAAATGTTATTGTTTCCTAATCGTTATTTATATAGATATCTGTCTAATATATACATTATTACATGTAACATTGTACTATTTAAACACCTTTTTTAATAATACAATATCCTAATTTTTAGGATATTGTATTATTTATAATTATTATTCTTCACTTTATCTCTTACAAAAGAGGTCGGACAGCCTAATCCTATAGCTTCGAAAATCTTTATATTTCGCAATTCCTTTATTCACTTCACGCATTGTTAAATCAGTTTATTCCTACAATTTTCAACAATTAACAGCCAACATTATCATAAATAGATAAACAACAGTTGTTATGGTTTTATTTTGTATTAGAAACTATATTACACCTACATAGATACTACTGTTGTAGACGTGGTTACTATATTTAATGTGATCACCCACCCATTACGATCACACCAACCTTCATAATAAAACAATTGTATTTACCTATTATAAATAAGTGTTGCACGAAGATAGAATATTTTTAAAAAACCTAAATCACAAAAGTAATGTCCATTAGTATTTAAATATATATTCGGTTTAACACGAAGGTAGGTCTGTTCTTTGTTATGAGAATAAATATTACAGATTTCTATTATTTTTCCTAAACTTTTTTTAGGTTTTCTAAAAAAAAAATGTTAATATAAATAAGTTGTATCCGTGTAACTGTAAATAGTGCAGGAAATCAATAAGGATATGAAATTCTGAAGTAGTAAGCACAACTTTCATATTTTAAATAGGAAAAGATGTTCTATTATATTTAAATTAACGAGGGAGTGGCTTCAATTATTTTAGATTATCTTATTTTTACTTAGTTATTATCACCTTTGCGTCTGTTAGATTTTATAATAGTATTTGCATATTCAACAATATAATAACATGTTGCACGTACTAGTGTACTAGACGTATATATTAATAATTACGTAACAATAATTTTAGCTGTAATTGTTATGGCCCAAAAATAATTTAGAAAAAAAGATATCATACGTGATAGAAAGATAATCCAGTTAAAAAATTAAAATACAATAGATAGTAAAAACAGTGCAGAAAGAGAAAGTAATGCGACTAGACATTTAGGGCCAGATTTAAAATGAATTCTACACTCACCAGGAAATAGCTACACCAAATTGCTATAATTGTGATTAAACGCGCTATTGTTTTATTTTGGTATTGTTTCCCATTTTAGCTTCGTTTGGTTAGATCGTCTGTATTTTGTCAACAAGCAATGACTGTTTTTTTTCTAAGGTAATTGTCAATATGTAACTTTATAGTTTATTTTTTATATGCTAGTTGGGTGACACGAAACAAATAAAAATATTTTACAAACTTGACACATTATAATACGAGCAAATGTTAATAAATTTTAAAATTACATCCTGTAGAAAGTTTTGGATTTCGATAATTTATTCAAAACAATGATAATAATAACATAATTCATTAAGATCTTCTGAATTATTCAAAAACACAAAAGTAAAGAGAAAACTAATACATATAGTATTGCTCTTTTTTTAGTCCAACTATGTGATAAAATATATATGTTTATAACGACAATAATTTAACATAGGGTATTTTTTTTGTGGATCACAAAGATTCATATTAGTTATTAGATTTGTAAACAATTTTTTTTTAATTTCTTATATTTATTCTACAAAATTAATAAAAAAGTAGATACATAATTTTGTATTTTTTGTGTGCATTCTTTCGTGTTTATTTCAAGAATGAAATTGTTTTTTTTATAAAAATAAATATAAAATATTTTATTTTGCAACATTAAAGTAAAATACATAATTCTTTACTTTAAAACTATTTCTCTAATAAAAAATAATCCTTTAAAAAAAAAATGTCTTCGTGTAGCATAAGAAATCGTGCCTGAAAGGTACTCTATTGAGCCAAAAACTAATAAATTCATCCCTTCCCCTTTAAAATATTTTTCAACTTAAAATTACGATGCTCTATAACTTTTTTAAAAATAGTCGAATCAATTCCAAATTTGGATAGAATATTTTTTAAACATAGTACTACCGATAAACGTTGCCAAACCAAAAAATTATCATAAACCCTTTCCTCTAGAAAGGATAGACATTTTTCTTTATTTCACTTCTGAAAATTTGACATGTGACTTCCCCGTCCCCACAATACTAACTTTTTTATTATTTGTATGCGCTGATTTAAATAATATATTAACTTGAAAAAAAATTACTATTATTTAAATATTTAGAACTAAGTATGATAATATTCCATTTAAATACTATTTCATTCGATAGTATGAACGATCCAACTAATTTATTATTTTATTAATTACATTTTACAGTATAGTATAACTTTTTCTAATGTTCTAGGTAAATAAATAAACATTTATTTGATTTAATCACTTAACCTTTAACTATTTTTTAAATAAAAACATATTTGAATAAGAAAATTGAAATTTTATTTTAATATATTTTTATTTTTTGTTAGTTAACTTAGTTTAAATAAAAATGTTTTTATTATTTGAGACTTGAGTTATTTATACAGTTTTTAATACTTAATTATATATTATAAATATTTGAATAATTGCTAGGTTTGATAGTTATTACATTATACAAATGCTTTGTCGATCAAATTATTGTAATTGCCGACTAACAAATATGTTAAGTCGTTATAAAAATAACCTAGAATACGTAATACTAGCTCAAACGAGTTCAACTTTTTATATCTATAGTTTAATTATAACAGAAAAAGTTGACCAGCTTGAAAATTAGACTTATTAATATGTTAAATAATTTTTTTTTAATGAGTTTAGTAAACAACACTCGTGTTATCACAAACAAATATAACATATCCACGCACTCTTATCCGAGAGAAAGCAAGAGTTCCATCAATTTTTATTAGTCCAATACTACCGAGTCACGACAATAAAACAAGAAGAACAACTAACCAGAGAACCGGATCCTTAAATGGATTAATACTAATCGCTGCACTTAAAAACTACTTTCTTCGACCATTTAACACATCTTCCGTTAAAGATTCCGACCTATATTCGAATGAAACTTAAAAGTTCATAATTTTTTCCTGAAAACTATAAAAACTTTATTGGATTTAAAATTAAAAAATGTACAATTCTGTTATTTTTCAAATTTGATTATAATTATGTTATATGTTATTTATTGTTTATTATGTAATATTATTAAATATTAATATGTATTATTAATAAAATAATGTCTCCTAATCAGTTTAATTAACTATGGAACAGCAATTAAGTTATTAGACATAATCCATATCACGAGAAAAGTCGTTACCTATACTAAAATTACAAATAAATTCTAACGTAGTTTTAAAACAAATAAAACGGAAATAATGTCATTTATCACGCCTTAAATAGTTTAAAAAAATAAACCTGTTTTATTTAGCTCTACGCTAACTCGGTCTTCAGCATTTTTTATCGTCTATCCAATTGAAGTATTTGTTGAAATCTGTTGAAATAACAACTTCAAAATAATTCTACTTTTACATTTATGTACACATACATTGCGATTGCAC